GCAGCTACTGCAACCCGTGTTTTGTTAACCCCCAAATAGAAAATGAGCAAAGTCCCAACCCAGAAAGATTGGCAACTTAAGTTGACAGAATATGCACAACTTGCAGACTTAACATATAGAATAAGAAAACAAGAAGAACATACGTTTAAAGAAGATGGGGAAATGTTTATTGAATATATGGAAAATAATTGTATACAGCTGAAAACACCGACAGCATTAAGATAAATTCACCAGTGTAAATAACTTTTGATGGATGTAATAATGGAAAACCGATTGGTACAGTTTTTGTAAAATATGCCGGGATCTAAGATATGCAGAATGAACCATGGAAAGAGAAGGAGGCAAGTCATTGATACCTTAAGGATGCAAAACGTTGATCTGAAATTGTAAAACAGAAAATGAATCAAAATTATGTTTCAAAAAAAGAAGCACAGTTTAAAATTGCTGCAGGCTGGTGTGAGCAAAAGGTTCGCTTTTCTCTCTGTCTCTCTGCCTCTTTCTTTCTCACAGCATTTATCTGCCTCTGTTCTGAAGAAATGCCTTCATTATGCAGTCTCCTGCAATCAGTTCTTCTTTGTTTTTCTCAGGATAAAAATGCACTACATCTCTATTCTGTGAATGGAAGGTATTTGGGCTCAGAGAGCCTGAAAGAGGACGTGTCGGATATGTGCCTGGCTGGGGAATATATTGTCATGGGGAGCCTACAGGGATTTCTATCCATACGAGATCTCCACAGGTAACGAGAACGGTTGGGAGGGGCAGGAAGTACCGTATTTTTTGCTCTATAAGACTCACTCCCCCCCCCAAAAAGTATGGGGAAATGTGTGTGCCTCTTAGGGAGCGAATGCAGGCTGCGCAGCTATCCTAGAAGCCAGAACAGCAAGAGGGATTGCTGCTTTCACTGTTCTGGCTTCTGAGATTCAGAATTATTTTTTTCTTGTTTTCCTCTTCCAAAAACTAGGTGCGTCTTGTGGTCTGGTGCGTCTTATAGAGCGAAAAATACGGTACTTCAACTTACCTATAATTCCCAAAAGGAAAGCTTCTCTTCTTTCTGACTTCAGCTTGGTTCCCGGCTTAAAAGTTTAACCGTGAACCAACTGTTGACGTTTGCTTAGTCACAATCCCAGCACTCGGGGCCACCGAAATAAATTAAGGGTTTTCTTACTATTTGCTGGCGGGAAGGTAAATGACATTTCCGTGTGCTGCTCTGGTTCGCCAGAAGCGGCTTAGTCATGCTGGCCACATGACCCGGAAGCTGTACGCCGGCTCCCTCGGCCAGTAAAGCGAGATGAGCGCCGCAACCCCAGAGTCGGTCACAACTGGACCTAATGGTCGGGGGTCCCTTTACCTTTATCCCTATAATTCCAAAAAGGAAAGCTTCTCTTCTTTTCGTTTCAGTGAATATAGAGTTCTAGTTGCTGTTGTCACATATGCAAATATGTGACAGATATGCAAATATATGTCAAAAAGTTCCCCACTCCTGCTTTGAAACCATCTTCGTCCTTTCTGACGTTGGACCTCCCACAACCATAAGGCCTACCAGCCACTGTCAATATTCTCCCTGTATCCAGACATCCTATATACCTTTGGCACATTTCTAGGGGTTGCTAACCAGGCTGTTCTGTTCCCATTTATTTCAGCCTCAGCCCCAGCACCTCCCCGTTGGCCATGCGGCTGCCGATCCACTGTGTGTCTGTGACCAAAGAGTCCAGCCATATTCTTGTCGGCCTCGAAGACGGCAAGTTGATCATCATCGGCGTCGGGAAACCGGCAGAGGTAAAACCTACCCTCAGGAACTTTATCTACCGAACGGTGGGCGGCTCGCTTATTTCTGCTTTCCAGCTGGGCAAGAGATCGCCTCTCTGGCAGGGCAAACGTCCGAGCAAGCTTGAGCTTTCCGAGGGGAAGAAATAGTTTTCGAGATGTTCTTGCGGTTTCTTTCCAAAAGCTCTTCTGCTGGAAACGAGAGCATAGAAGGGAACTACACATTGGGGAGCTGGGGCAGAATCAGGTGGACTAATATAGAGGTTTTACCATAGCTGAGATTACAACTTTCTGCTGCTTGCTAGATCGGGAAACCAGCTGAACTGAACTTGCCTGCTGTATAACATTTCATTCTAAACACTAATGCACCACTCCTGTTTGCAAGTTACGAAAATTGATTTCGGAAGAACGCTGAACAGACAAGGATGAACTCCTGTGGATTTTTCTTTGTTTTGGCTTTACTGCATTTGGGTTTGACCTTGAAAGCTATAGTTAAGCACCACCTTATCCTTGCCCGTTAGAGTTAAGAAAAGGGCAAATGCTGCTATTTTGTTCTGTGATGGTTCTTAAGCTGCTGTATGCAGGTATCACTTGTATAGCGTTCATCAGGCATTGCACAAAAACAGGGTCTTACCAAACTTTTTTTTTAAAAACACAACTGCACCAAAGTATTTCGGTGCCATTGAGGAAAGATGCTGACATAAGCTTTGTGGACCAGTGGAGAATGCCACATTGCATCAAGTTTGAGAGAATTCCTTCTAATTTCACAGTGATGCCTAATAGGGCATTCCTAAGTCAAGCAAACCTCTGGACTAACATTGTCAGAAGATGCTAGGAAGGAGCGGATAACTATCTCCGATTGATTCCTGAAGAACATGTGAAAAAAGCTCTGCAGTTTTTTCCCTATCTCAAGCGTCACACGGTTTGAGCACTCCACATTTCTGAAATGTTTTGCACCACTTGCCTCTGGTCCAAACTTAAACCTGCGCCTGAGCCATTGGTTTGCTGAAGTCAAAGGCAACCAAACATTGCACTAGCAGTATTCCTTTCTCGTATGTTGTATTGTATTGATTAGGTAATCGCTGGGCCCCACAAAAAGCTGCTCTGGAAGGCAGAACACTGGAGGGGGCTTGGAAGGATTAGCAAAAGTTGCTTCCGTGACTGGAAATCTCTGCAGGATCTTAGCCTGTTCTGCAAACGGTGAAGGGATAAATCTGTTTGCAGAAGGGCATATCTGATTCCAGTCTAGTGTGTGCTGTTGGGACCACAGATATTGATCTGCCTTTAACCGCACCAGCATAATTGGGCCATACATATGTCAGTATAGGCTTTAACTCTTATGTATTTATGTCAATATACCTTATATGTTTTTTAATAGTGATTCTTGCACTAATTATTTCACCTGAGCAATTTAAACGTGTACAGATTTGGTGCAATGAATGATCTTCTTTTTGCTGCTGCTGCTGTGCAGAATCGCCTTCCTTCTGATTCACTGGCAAGCGTTTTAGTTTTCCTGCTAAAGCGTAGCATTTTGCTAGCTGCGTTTCTGTCCTCTGCTTGTCTGGAATGAAAGTGAGTCCCATTGTGTTCCATGAGACTTACTCCCTAGCAAAAACTTAAAACCGATTTTGTTCTCTTACACTGGACTTTTAAAAACGGTGTTTATTAAAAACACCAAACCAACAACCAACACCACAAAGCCAGAGATTTAAATTCCATTTTTTCTCTGATTTTAAAGGAAGGCCAGACAGAGTTCTTATAAAACCACTTGACATTAAGGCCCCATAACAGTCAGAAAGCACAAGACAGACATCCATGTTGCTTTGCTTATTTGTGTGCCCTAAAATTGTCCAAGCGCTTAATTATTTTAGGAATAAATTGCCCATTATGTTTTGTTGTGTGTGTGTGTGTGTGTGTGTGTGTGTGTGCGCGCGCGCGCTATATCTTGTGCTGTCTGTGCTTTTCCAGAATCTCCTGAAGTTTTTATTTAATTTATTCCCCTTATCCGCTCCCTCCCCTTCTTTTTGTTTTTCTCAATTACCCGAAACAGATGCGTGTGGGACAGCTCTCTCGAAAGTTGTGGGGTTCAAGCAAACGCATCAGCCAGATTTCATCAGGAGAGACTGAATATAACACGCAAGATTCCATGTGATTTCTGCTCCTGCCTCCTCTTGGGGAATTCCACACATTTATTTAATCTTCTGATTATTTTCCAATCGTATCTTTCAACTTGCTCAGTTACGTTTGAAGCGACAGCACAGTTTCCACAGGCAGATATGGGGAATAAGCCTATAGCACCTGGCATTTGTGTAATTGTGTTAATATGTTAGAATTGGGCGAGATAAGCTGATTCGATATTATTTAAGCAAATGAATTGTTTGTGAGAGATATGTATGCATTCATATGTTTATATGTGTATATTTGTGTGTAACATGTTTGTTTGTACATATATGTGTGTGTTTGATACTTAACTGACATTCGCAGGTTAATGATGGCAATCATGGGTAAGTTCGCTGAATATCTGAAAAATTTATTTCTGTAAGCCTTTTGCATACATGCCAGTGAATGCGGACAAATATTCTGAGGTCAGCATTCACTGGTATAAAAGCTTTTGAACACTTGCCAAATTTGTCTGGGTTATGTGATTGTCCGCATCACCAAACCGTTGACATTGACTGTAACATAATATATATTTATATAGGTTGTGATCCAGTAAATTCATTTACTTGTGCACAAGCAAATGGGTATGTGCATAGCTAGTTTGTCGCTGCCCCACCCCAGCATTCTGTGAACTAGCTGGTTGTTTAAAAATTGGCCTTGGGAGAGCAGGGAGTGTTGCCCCAAAAGGAAAAAGAAGATCCAATTTAATACCTTAAATTTAATTTAATTTAATTTAATATGGGCAGTCTTTTGGATCTTAACCAATGCCTCTAAATTTCCAGTCCGTTATAGACAAACACACTTTCTTCTCTCACCTCCAAAGCTTCCATAGTTCCAGAAATCTAAAAATGAAAATTATTCCGACTCAGCTTGTGGGGTGGGGAGAGTTTTCCTTGTGCCCTTCAGTTGAATTCTGCAATTGACGTCAGAATCGTATCGAGCAACTGGGAACTGTTCTTCAGGCGGTGCCTCCGTCGTCCAGTTTGGATGTCGTGCGTTGGATTGTCAGTACGTTAAAAACGAATGTGGACCGGGGAGCAGGCCTGCTACTCTGAACCGTTACATGCCGCTGCAAATTAAACTTGAGAGGTAGGGTCATTCTGAAAAGAAAACGTGCAATATCTAGGCACCTGATCCAGCAATTGCAGTTCTTTTTGCACGGTAGCATATTTTTACACAAAGGGATGGCGATTCCGGGTCCAGCGCATGCAAACAGTGCTTAGTGTGGTGTGCGGAGATGCTGTCTCCAGCAGCGGGGAGTTGTGCAAGGCTGAAACCTACCTGCACACTCCCAAAAGTGATCAGCGCTGTGCTAATGTTGCGGATCCTTTGGTAATGGGGAAGAGATGGTTGTGCACAGGGCTGTGTCTTTTTCGAAGGACATTTCAGATACAGCAGAAGTAAATGGGAGAATCTAAGCACTACCTGCATTTTCGTTATTTCTTTGGACCAAGTGGGAGCCACAGTTTCCTACACATGGAGCGCCATAGTTTTGGGTGAGAGCTGAAGGATCTGTTTGCTTGGGATTCCAGAGCGTTCTTTGATGGTTAAAGCCAGAGGCCTTGGTTTTAGATCTGAATTTGCATGGGGAAATCTTGACCTCCAGGGCAAAGTCTTGTTGGAAGAGTATCGTTTAAAACACGGTCTTTTATGGAACCGGGCGATAAGTTGTTATTTTATTATCACGCTCTAACGGACTATGTGCAAAACTGATTGAAGTGAGTGGATCACTTTGCTCAGATTTCTTTCCAGGCTGGCAAGATGTTGAACTGCATGAGAAATATAAGCAATTTTCAGTTTATTCCTTGACTTTTGTGCAGATGTCTTTGGAAATTGGGTCATTTATTTCAGGGATGAACAGCCTTTGGCCTGCCAGATTTTGTTCAACTCCCAACCCCAGTCAGCACGGCCAAAGATCCAGGATGATCTAGGAGTTTTTAGTCCAGCAACATCTCTGCAGGCCACTGGTTTCCCCATGTCTTCTGATTTATTTATTTAAAGGATCAATGCTCTTGTCTTGTGCTCTTTAACAAAGGTTATTTTAAAAAAAGTATTTAGTGGGTTTGTTTTAATAAATCTGGCTCGGGTGTGTAGAAATTCTGATTGGAAATAGCTTTGCTGCTTATCATAGGGATCAACTGGGATTTCAGGGATTAAAGCAATTTTCACACAGGGCTGAAATTGAGAATGTGCTTATACATGTGGGAGCAAGTTAAAATGAAAGCAGTCGTTATTGTAGCAATACCAAAGATAATCTGGAAGCATTGAAACATTTATGAATGTGAAACTGGTTCATTAAGATTTAAAAGTGAAGGAGTATTGATGAATATTCTGGAATGAGTCACCTTTTCTTTTTTTAATTCAAAAAACTAGGTGATGTAATTATGTGGTTACGGGTGGGTTTCTATAGTGTATTGTTTGGGGGCATTATGTTGATGGCTATTTTGGATTTTTTAAAAAAAATAACGGTAAAGAAATGTCAGGCTGGTAAACAAAGACTAATTCAGGGGAGCAAACTAGAGAAATTGTGGGAACTGTTCACATGCTTGTTCTTTTGGAAGGCCTCCCAGGCCTCCCAGCAAAACTCTGAGTAACTTATGAGTCTTCTGACTTTTGAAGAAAATAATCAAGGAAAGCCAACATGGTGGCCTCACAATGTCGTTGGATGCACTGCCATCAGACCCGGTCACTGTTGCCAATGGCTGGGGAATGTTGGGAGTTTCAGTCCGAAAACGCCTTGAAGGCATCACGTTGGCTGTGGGTCAATGGAAATATTGGGCACATGGAAGTTTATCCGTCTTCGATCTGTGTAGAACTTCCCTCCACTGCCGAGTTGGGCTTGTGGACTGAGTCCTTTCACGGCTGCAACTACTCCATTCAGAGAATGGAAGCCTGTCTTCAGAAGTGATGCTAAGCCAAACCTTGGCTTAGCTCAGGCATAGGCAGACTCGGCCCTCCAGCTGTTTTGGGACTACAACTCCCATCATCCCTAGCTAACAGGACCAGTGGTCAGGGAGGATGGGAGTTGTAGTCCCAAAACATCTGGAGGGCCGAGTTTGTGTATGTCTGGCTTAGCTGAAGGGTAGGGCAGTACTACCCTTAGGAGAAGCAGCAGCTGCTCTTCTTATGGAGAATACTGCCATTTCATCATCTTCTCTTGCAGTCGTGGTTTGGCTTAGGGTTACATGACGGGTGTGCGATTTCGGGTTCCCCACCTGCGCTGTAACTGCTAGGTCTGTGTCCTGTGCTACCCCAATGGCATGGGTCATACCAGGAAACCAAAGGCTTCGCTGGCCTCTCTGTAAACTCCTGTACAGAAGTATTCAGGTTCCTCGTGCCACTTTCTAGCATGTCAACGAAAAGTCTTCACTTTGAGAACACTAAACAGAGCTTTGAAAGGAGCAAAAATGGCATTTTCCCGAAATCTGGCAGCACCGTGCAAGAGCATGTAGGGAAAGTAATGATCATTGTTGACATGAGAGGAGCAGGGTCATTTTGTTGTTGACTTTCCCCAATCCCCTCTTGCTTGCATGCATGTTCTTCCCCACCGCAATGCTACAAGGAAAAAGAATACGGAGGATGTTTTTGTACTGCTCAATGGCAGTTTTGAATAGCCCAGCTTTGTTAATTAGCAGCCTGCCCTGGAAATTGTGCTGCTATTTAAAACCGATTTTTCTAAGTAGAAAACAAAAATTCATTTACCACGTGCCTCTGCATTTGCTTAAAACACACCACAATTTAAATAGAAACAGGACACTAAGCCTTATGTATATATACAGGCAAATGATAATCGCATACTGATTATTCTGATAGTGCAATTGTGATTACAAATGGGTTTTAAATGCCAAAAATGCCTTCGGATTTTGGGTGGAAGTGTTTTTGATATATTTAGGTTCAACTAGTCCTTGTGTAACAACTGCAAATATTTCTGTTAGTCTGTGCAATACCTTTCCTCTTTTTTGGGGGGGTGCTTCTAAGGTTAAATAATACACTGTGTTTTTGATGGTAAGGTTTAATAATTTTAAGTCTGTATGTATGTATATTGGCTAACACGGAACTGATGTACAGCATGGTGGGAAATGTTCTAAAATTTGCACTTTGTAAGATTTACAGATTTGTAATTTAACCCTTTTTAAAAGGCTTGCTCAACTTGTACATAAAATTGATTGTCAAATTAGGTTTGTATATAATGGGTCTGAAGCCAATTAAATAAAATTGGACGTGTGTTTAGCCTCTCTCCATTTCATTGCCCCAAAGCACTGTGCCAGCATTCAAACATCTGGATTGCAAGATGGGACGCTCCACATACAAACGGGCTGTGCAAACAATTCTCTTTAGCCAATCTGTTGTTCAGCAGGGATGGCAGACGACAACTCGCAAACACGGCTGGAAGCGTCCTGCCCGAGCCCAGGAATACCTTCACATCTGATACGAATCTATGCATGGCTTGCACACACCCACACTTTTAGCCCTTGTGTATTCCAATACATGCCTGGGGGGGGGAAAGGATATTTGGCCCTGTCTGAGCTGTAGCCTATGCAGAAACTATAACTTCTGGTATGGGAACATTTCCTTCAGCCAAAATAGCTGCTGGTGGGTGAGGGGGAAGCATGTGAGAATAAGAGAGTTGCTGTGAAACAATGCACAACTATATTTAATAATAATAATACAGTGGTGCCTCGCAAGACGAAATTAATTCGTTCCGCGAGTTTTGTCGTCTTGCGATTTTTTTCGTCTTGCGAAGCACGGTGTCGGGAAAGTTTTGGAAAAGCTTCAAAAATCACCAAAGTCTTTAAAAACCTCAAAAAGGCTACCACACCGCTGTTCTATGAGTTGCTCCTCGAAGTCAAGTCGCAACTGTATTAACGGTGTTAAGAAAAAGGAAACAAACTTGCAAGATGTTTCCGTCTTGCGAAGCAAGCCCATAGGGAAAATCGTCTTGCGAAGCAGCTCAAAAAACAAAACACCCTTTCGTCTAGCGAGTTTTTTGTCTTGCGAGGCATTCGTCTTGCGAGGTACCACTGTAATAATAATAATAATATTTTTAAAAACCAGGCTCAGGGTGGCTAGCAGCAAATGTAAAACACTGATTAAAAAGCAACTTAAAAACAGCATAAAATACAATATAAACGTACCATCAATTTCAATAAAATTCAAAAATTCAGGGGTCATGGGGGGGGCAGGAACCCCAGTCAGTAAACATCAAATGATCACCAGGGCTAACTGGCCAAGTTGGTCCTACTAGGGCCAGCAAGGAGACCAGGGAAGAATTTAAGTGTGGGGTCCCAGAAAGGGTTTCTTCATAGAAGAAGAAAGGGAAAAGGGAATAGAGGATCAGGCTAATTCAAACTGAAGGCCAGGCGGAATAGCTCTGTCTTACAGGCCCTGCGGAAGGAGATCAAGTCCTGCAGGGTCCTAGTCTCGTGGGACAGAGCATTCCACTAGGTCGGAGCCATCACTGAAAAAGCCCTGGCCCTGGTGGAGGATAGTATAGGCTAAAGAAGCCAGACTATCTAAGATAGTATAGAGTTGCACTGTGGGAAGCAGTAACTTGCCAGCATGCACCAGTGGCTTCTGGGCATCTGGGTTTTCCCCCCCTTCCCAGATAAGGCCGTTCTTTTTCTGCTAAGCAAGAGTCTGCTTGGAAGTTGACTTCTCTTCAATTGACGTTATAGCTTACCTGGGCTCTCTGTCGCCAGGAAACTGAAGTCCACTCCAGGGTCATAGTCCTTGGGGGTGTTCCCTCTGTACCAAAGGAAGAACGAGACAAACTTGAAGTTACTAATGTACATAACTGTTAGGACTGAGCATGTTTCTTGGAGGACACTACTGGTTCCCTATCTAGCTTTAACCCCTCAAATGTGAATTCGCTGGTTACATGCTGGTGGAGAATGATTTGAGGCTCAGCTCCAAAGAACACAAAACACCCAATGTGAGCTGTAGTCATATGGGTGGCGCTGTGGTCTAAACTGCTGAGCCTCTTGGGCTTGGCGATCAGAAGGTTGGCAGTTCAAATCCCCGCGACGGAGTGAGCTCCCTTTACTCTGTCCCAGCTCCTGCTAACCTAGCAGTTTGAAAGCACGCCAACGCAAGTAGATAAATAGGTACCACTGTGGCAGGAAGGTAAACAGTGTTTCTGTGTGCAATGGCACAGTGTGCCATTGCGCCTGAAGCAGTTTAGTCATGCTTCTCCACATGACCCAGAAAGCTGTCTGGACATACACCGGCTCCCTCGGCCTGAAAGTCCATAGTCGCCTTTGATTGGACTTTACCGTCCAAACAACCAGGGGTCGTTTACCTTTATATCCACGGCTGCTATGCCCATCATGCAAAGTCTCATGATACAATGAAAGATGGAGACAGCAAGCTTTTATTTACATCAGGGGTCGGCAAAGTTTTTGTGGCTTGGGCCGGTTCATGGTCCTGCAGACGCTGCGGTGTGCCGGAGTAAGCACGCACGCACACACACATGCACAAACGCTATTTCCGGTGCAGAGGAGGCGTGCACAGCTTCCCATTGGCTGCAGGAGCTGGTCAGCATCACGGAATAAAGGCAAACATTCTAATCATGTAAAAACACCAGGCAGGCCCCACAAATAACCCAGAGATGCATTTTAAATCAAAGGACGCATTCTACTCATGTACACACTGATTTCCGGACCATCCGCGGGCTGGATTGAGAAGGCGAATGGGCTGGATCCGGCCCTCAGGCCTTAGGTTGCCTACCCCTGATCTATATGCTTTGTGGCACATTTTAAGGGAACTATTAAGAACGGCCAACTGGACAGAGGGAGAAATAAGTTTCCAGACTGAAAGCATACTACTCACCAAAACAGGAGGTGTGTTGCATTCTCCGTGGTACCGTGGGATCCTTTTCTCCCGAGTTTTCTGCAATAGTGATACAAAAAAGAATTACCTAGCAACTATGAATTGTGGGACGCGGGTGGCGCTGTGGGTTAAACCACAGAGCCTAGGACCTGCCGATCAGAAGGTCGGTGGTTCGAATCCCAACAACGGGGTGAGCTCCCGTTGCTCGGTCCCTGCTTCTGCCAACCTAGCAGTTCAAAAGCACGTCAAAGTGCAAGTAGATAAATAGGTACCACTCTGGCGGGAAGGTAAACAGCGTTTCCGTGCGCTGCTCTGGTTCGCCAGAAGCGGCTTCGTCATGCTGGCCACATGACCCGGAAGCTGTACGCCGGCTCCCTCAGCCAATAAAGCGAGATGAGCGCCGCAACCCCAGAGTCGTCCGCGACTGGACCTAATGGTCAGGGGTCCCTTTACCTTTTTTATGAATTTTGTACTATACTGCAAATGTATTTTGGAACCTGGCAAACTAAATATTCCAAATATTAAACATTTGTTTATTTTTCAAGGCATATTAACACCACACATTCAATCTATTCATATTCTTCAAGATGAGGCTTTTTTATTTTTGTGCACTTCTGAGACTCAAGGGGGTAGGGCGGGGGGAATCACCAACTCTTACCGCAAGTTTGTGCTGGCCTATTCGAGACTCACTATGCCCCATGCGGATTGCTTGGGGGGCAAGAAGCCGTTGCAGAGGCCCGACATGCATTTGAGCATCTCAAAATACACAGGCCTGGCCAGGACACTGGGAACATTTTCTGAATGGAGGAACCTGCATCCCCCCAAAAGCTGAATGCCATGGTATAAGCAGGTTTGCAGCCCATAACTCCTCATGCTAATAATAATAATAATAATAATAATAATAATAATAAATTTTATTTATATACCGCCCTCCCCAGCCGAAGCCGGGCTCAGGGCGGCTAACAACAATAAAACAGTACAAAAGTACAGCACGAACAACACTCTAAAATCATTCATTATAAAATTAATTAGTTCAAGCCACTGGCAACCATTGGGCCAGAGCTCCACGAAGATTGCCGAGGGAGGGAGTCAGGCTGTGCCCTGGTCAAAGGCCTGGTGGAACAGCTCTGTCTTGCAGGCCCTGCGGAAAGATGTCAAGTCCCGCAGGGCCCTAGTCTCTTGTGACAGAGTGTTCCAGCAGATCGGAGCCACGGCCGAAAAAGCCCTGGCTCTAGTTGAGGCCAGCCTAACTTCTCTGTGGCCTGGGACCTTCAAGATGTTTTTATTTGAAGACCGTAAGTTTCTCTGTGGGGCATACCAGGAGAGGCGGTCCCGTAGGTACGAGGGTCCTAGGCCGTATAGGGCTTTAAAGGTTAAAACCAGCACCTTAAACCTGATCCTGTACTCCACCGGGAGCCAGTGCAGCTGGTATAGTACCGGGTGAATGTGATCTCGCAGCGAAGACCCCGTAAGGAGTCTCGCTGCAGCATTCTGCACCCGCTGGAGTTTCTGGGTCAGTCTCAAGGGCAGCCCCACGTAGAGCGAGTGACAATAATCCAGTCTGGAGGTGACCGTCGCGTGGATCACAGTGGCTAGGTCAGGGCGAGAGAGGTAAGGAGCCAACTGCTTAGCTTGGCGGAGATGGAAAAATGCCGCCTTTGTTGTAGCTGCAACCTGCGCCTCCATACACCTATTTATGCTCAAATGCAACAACTGCTTAAAAATGTGTGAATTTCTTCTTCAGCTGTTATCTGACAGCACTCAGCTGCACTTGTTCTTTAGAGCACCTCAATTCCCAGGCAGATGGTATTAACACGTTTTAAAAAGTGGGCAATCCTGTTCATAAATCAAGTGAGCTATTTATTTCACTAATATTATCACTGAAGAACCTCATACCTGTTCTGTTCAGACATACCAAACTCTGGTTTGTGGTGCTGTAGACGAGAACCCAAAGAGGGTTTGAGTTTCCAAACGTAACAAGCAACCATAGTTTTGAGATAAACATTTATTCCAGTTTTCTGTCAGTGGGTGGCGCTGTGGTCTAAACCACTGAGCCTCTTGGGCTTGCCGATCAGAAGGTCGGCGGTTCGAATCCCCGCGACGGGGTGGGCTCCCATTGTTTGGTCCCTGCTCCTGCCAACCTAGCAGTTCGAAAGCATGTCAAAGTGCAAGTAGATAAATAGGTACCACTCTGGCGGGAAGGTAAACGGCGTTTCCGTGTGCTGCTCTGGTTCACCAGAAGCGGCTTAGTCATGCTGGCCACATGACCTGGAAGCTGTACGCCGGCTCCCTCGGCCAATAAAGCGAGATGAGGGCCACAACCCCAGAGTCAGCCACACCTGGATCTAATGGCCAGGGGTCCCTTTACCTTTAATAATGGAAAACCGATTGGTATAGTTTTTGTAAAACATGCAGGGATACAAGATATGCAAAACGAACCATGGAAAGAGAAGAAGGGAAGTCACTTATATCTCAAGGATGCAAAACATCTATCTGAAACTGTAAAACAGAAAATTTAATAAAAATATTAAACGAAGCTCTGGTTCATAAGCAACCGCTGCAAGACTTTTTGTACCGGAGGGCAGCGGAGAAACCTGCGTAGGGAAAAAACAAAAACCGTCGGCGAGGCAATTCATATTGACCAATATTTACCAATGAATTTTGCTGCAGCCGTCCTTGCAGCTTCGACGGGATCAAGGCGTTCAGGAATGCTTTGTAACCCAAAGCCTAAGGGAGGGGAAAAAGCAACAGTGCAAAAAAGTGCAAACAGTGCAGATGCACCGCTTTTCTTCCCGGAAAGCGTAAGGACGCCAGACCAGGCGCTGCAGCAGCTGCGCGCGGAGAGGCGCTGCAAAACGCACCCTTGGGCGCAGCTGGGACTGGACCTCCATCAGCCGGGTTGGGGGGGTGCGTGCACGCGCGTTTCGAGGAAAAGTCCCGCCCCCCTCCCCGCCTTCCTCGCACAGCCGATAGCTCGATTGCTCTCGCCTCCCCCGTTGCTCGGATCTCCGCCCTGCTGCCACCCGAACTCGGGCGAGGAAGGGCTGCTGCTGCCATGCTGGACTTCGCTATCTTCGCCGTCACTTTCCTGCTGGTCCTGGTGGGGGCCGTCCTTTACCTCTACCCGGTAAAGGCTGCACCGCGCGCGCCGGGAGATCAAAGGGGAGATCAAAGGGGTTCTAGAATCTTGGGGCGCCGGGAGAAAGTGCCCGCGCGGAAGCGGCTGGCGCGTCCCCCGCAGCGCTAATGGCTTTACTGGGGAGGGAGTCCCGTCGCTGGGTTTTGAGTTAGTGGCACTTAGTTCCGGGTGAGCCTGCACCGGAAGTAAGGTGTGTTTTTTTTAAAAGCATAATAATAATAATAATAATAATAATAATTTATTTATACCCCGCCCATCTGGCTGAGTCTCCCCAGCCACTCTGGGCAGCTCCCAATCAAGTGTTAAAACCAGAACAGCATTAAATACTGTATTAAAAACTTCCCTGAACAGGGCTGCCTTCAGATGTCTTTTGAAGATAGGATTGTTGCTTATTTCCTTCACACCTGAAGGGAGGGTGTTCCACAGGGTGGGCGCCACCACCAAGAAGGCCCTGTGCCTGGTTCCCTGTAACCTCACTTCTCGCAATGAGGGAACCGCCAGAAGGCCTTCGGCGCTGGACCTCAGTGTCCGGGCAGAATGATGGAGGTGGAGACGCTCCTTCAGGTATACAGGACAGAGGCCGTTTAGGGCTTTAAAGGTCAGCACCAACACTATGAATTGTGCTCGGAAACAGCACAAGCAGATATTACTCTAGCGGACATTCCTGCATTGCAGGGAGTTGGGCTACTCAGAAGTAAGTCCGAAGTTCTTCCCCTCCAACGATTCTGGCCGCAGCACTTGACCCATAGCTGTCAACCTTCCCTTTTTTTTGCGGGGAATTCCCTTATTCCAGCGCCGTTTCCCGCTGCTATCCCGGATTATTAGATATCCTGTAGACAGGTGAGGCTGCTGATCCCTTATTTTCAAGGCTGCTGATCCCTTATTTTCAAATCTGAAAGTTGACAGCTATGGCTTGACCCCAACTCTGAACAGACTACGGGACCCAGAATCCTTTGAGGGAGGGATCGCGCCTCCAATACGCTTTAAAGGCATTTTTGCAAAGTGGGGACTACAGTTCCCATCGTCCCTGACCGCTGTCACAGCTTGCTAAGGATGATGGGAGTTGTAGTCCCTAAAAAACAGACAGGGATTCGAAATTTTGGCGTAGTGTGTACATGTGCAGCTGAGCAGGGCAGAAACCACAGGAGATGAAAGCAAGGTGGTCTTTTCGAGGAGGAGGGGGCTAAACTTCAGGAGCAACTTTCCAGTAGGTAATAATAATAATAATAATAATAATAATAATAATTTATACCCCACCCATCTGGCTGGGTTTCCCCAGCCCCTCTGGGTGGCTTCCAACAAAGTATTAAAATACAGTAGTTTGTTAAACCTTAAAAGCTTCCCTAATCAGGGCTGCCTTCAGGTGTCTTCTAAAAGTCAGATAGCTGCTTATTTCCTTGACATCTGATGGGAGGGAGTTCCACAGGGAGGGCGCCACTACTGAGAAGGCCCTCTGTAACTTGGCTTCTCACAGGGAGGGAACCGCCAGAAGGCCCTCGGCGCTGGACCTCAGTGTCCTGGTGGTTTATCCTTGGCTATGAGCCATGGCTGCGGATGTGCGACCTGATGTTCTGCATGTTTAACGGGAGTAAGGCCCTCGCTGAAGTCGGTGGGGCTTTCCACTTAGTACAGGTACGCAAGTTTGCTGGCTGACAATACGGTCTTAATAGTTGTTTATTCAGAGGTTGGATGCAAGGGGGACTGCTCCCTCGCGAGTGTGTTGAGGATCACAGCCCTTCGCAAAGGAGCCCACCATCTTCCTAGCAAGCCAGTTCTACTCTGACTGGCGGGGGTTGCCCTGATTCGAACTCGGATCACGTTTCACATACAAAGGGTCCCGCTTTTTTCAGGGTCAGGTCAGGAAAGACTGCTGCCTCAAACCCCTGGGAATGTGCTGCCGTTTGATATCTTGAGTTGATCTATCTTTCTGCCCTTTGAGCATTTCAAACTTGGGGAGGGGGGGAAATACCAGTTCAAGAAGGACACTGACAAACTGGAACGTGTCCAGAGGAGGGCAACCAAAATGGTCAAAGGCCTGGAAACGATGCCTTATGAGGAACGGCTAAGGGAGCTGGGCATGTTTAGCCTGGAGAAGAGGAGGTTAAGGGGTGATATGATAGCCATGTTCAAATATATAAAAGGATGTCATATAGAGGAGGGAGAAAGGTTGTTTTCTGCTGCTCCAGAGAAGCGGACACGGAGCAATGGATCCAAACTACAAGAAAGAAGATTCCACCTAAACATTAGGAAGAACTTCCTGACAGTAAGAGCTGTTCGACAGTGGAATTTGCTGCCAAGGAGCGTGGTGGAGTCTCCTTCTTTGGAGGTCTTTAAGCAGAGGCTTGACAACCATATGTCAGGAGTGCTCTGATGGTGTTTCCTGCTTGGCAGGGGGTTGGACTCGATGGCCCTTGTGGTCTTTTCCAACTCTATGATTCTACGATTCTACTTTTAGATATCCACTGCTGCTTTATAATGGTCTCGCTTAGTACATCTGTACTAATGTGCAGCACATAATATTGATGTTCCATTCAAGATGTTCCATTCATTCCATTCAAGGATTGTGGTTATGATTATTGCTCCTTTCCTTCCTTAGTCTTCCAGACAGGCTTCAGGTATCCCAGGGATGACTCCGACGGATGAAAAGTAAGTAGCTTCTTACATGTTCGATTGGGGCAGCAACGGGAAATCGTGTCTCCAGATGTTGCTGTGCTACAACTCACATCGTCCCTGACCATTGGGCAAGCTGATCAAGGCTGATGGGAGTTGGAATCCAGCAAAACTTGGCAAGCCGCAGGTTTTCCACGCTTGATCAAGGGCGTGAATCTTTTCCCCTCCGTGCACAGAGGAGTAATATTTTTGTGCACAAACGGGGGGCGGAGGGGTGTTCTGGTCTTTCTTGGGTAACTGTACCTCTGAAGGACCAGGTGCGCAGCCTGGGAGTCGTTTTGGACTCACAGCTGAACACGAAGCCTCAGGTCAATTCTGTGTCCAGGACAGCTGTTTATCAGCTCCATCTGGTAGGCAGGCTGAGACCCTACCTGCCCGCGGACTGTCTCGCCAGAGTGGTGCATGCTCTGGTGATTTTCCGCTTGGACTACTGCAATGCGCTCTACGTGGGGCTACCTTTGAAGGTAACCTGGAAACTACAGTGGTACCTCGGGTTAAGTACTTAATTCGTTCCAGAGGTCCGTTCTTAACCTGAAACTGTTCTTAACCTGAAGCACCACTTTAGCTAATGGGGCCTCCTGCTGCTGCCGCACCGCCAGAGCACGATTTCTGTTTTCATCCTGAAGCAAAGTTCTTAACCCGAGGCGCTATTTCTGGGTTAGCGGAGTCTGTAACCTGAAGCGTATGTAACCTGAAGTGTATGTAACCCAAGGTACCACTGTACAACTAATCCAGAATGCGGCAGCTAGACTGGTGACTGGGAGCAGCCGCCAGGAACATATAACACCGCTCCTGAAATACTTACATTGGCTCCCAGAACGTTTCTGAGCACAATTCAAAGTGTTGGTGCTCACCTTTAAAGCCCTAACTGGCCTCGGCCCAGAATACCTGAAGGAGCGTCTCCACCGCCATCGTTCAGTCTGGACACTGAGGTCCAGCGCCGAGGGCCTTCTGGCAGTTCCCTCATTGCGAGGAACCAGACAGAGGGCCTTCTCGGTAGTGGAACGCCCTCCCATCAGATGTCAAGGAACTAAACAACTACCTGACTTTTAGAAGACACCTGAAGGCAGCCCTGTTTAGGGAAGTTTTTAATGTCTGATTTTTTATTGTATTTTTAATATTCTGTTGGGAGCCGCCCAGAGTGGCTGGGGAAACGCAGCCAGATGGACAGGGTATAAATAAATTATTATTATTATTATTACTACTATTACTACTACTACTGCTGCTGCTGCTGCTGATACTCTTGCCCTCTTGTTCATGAGGGCCGTCACATCCCTGGGCACCCCATTGGCAGCAAAGCATACTCTTTGCTGTGTCCAGTGGCTCCACCAGGAGCATTCAGAAGTGGAGATCTCTGGATGGAGTGCATGGAACTCCATCAGGTCTTCAAGTGCTATAGGTTTGTCACCAACTGCAACATGCCTACCATAGCAAAGGTTTTCCATGGCACAGACAATAATGCCGACTTGGGCAGTGGAGGGTTCTAATGGGACCCCCTATATCTTTGCATGTTCAGAATTTTGATGGCAAATTGTATGGGTGATATTCAATTGACCAAGCTGTTCATTAATTTCAGTGGAGTAAAATTTAGTTGCCCTACCACCCGGTGGTCATCTCTGTCCTTTCTTCGTTCCAGAGATGGAAACCTCCCAGATATCATCGCTAGCGGTAGTTTGCATGAGTTCCAGGTGAATCTTCATGAGAAATACGGCCCTGTGGTCTCTTTCTGGTTTGGACGGCGTCTTGTGATTAGTCTCGGGTCCATGGATCTCCTCAAACAGCACATCAACCCCAACAAGACCTGTGAGTGCTCTTCCTTCCGGGTGTTTACAAAAAAACGAGTTGGGTTTGAACCGTAGAAATGACCACATTTATTGTGGGATAAGCTTTTGAGGCGGGATGCGGGTGGCGCTGTGGTCTAAACCACTGAGCCTTGGGCTTGCCGATCGGAAGGTCGGTGGTTCAAATCCCCACGACGGGGTGAGCTCCCGTTGCTCGGTCCCAGCTCCTGCCAACCTAGCAGTTTTAAAGCACACCAGTGCAAGTAGATAAATAGGTACTGCTCCGGCGGGAAGGTAAACGGCATTTCCGTGCGCTGCTCTGGTTTTGCCAGAAGCGGCTTACTCATGCTGGCCACATGACCCAGAAAAACTGTTTGCGGACAAACGTCGGCTCCCTCGGCCAGTAAAGTAAGATGAGCGCCGCAACCCTGGAGTCGTGCGCGACTGGACTTAACTGTCAGGGGTCCTTTACCTTTACCTTTAAGCTTTTGAGAGTGGCGGCCTGTTTCATAGCGCAAGAGCTCAAAGCCGCCAGTGATCTCTGCGTGTGTGAGAGAGGGAGACGCTCAAAACGTTGCTGCTGCAGAGCAGAAGAGATGTTTGACCCCAGAGGCTGCAGTTTACTTGACTCTGACAACTATTTAAATTTCTCCTGATGCTTTTTGAAAAGCTCCTTGCCTTAGAGGAGCGTGGTAACCACGTCTCTGCTCACACCTTTTCCTTTCAGGTGCAAATAAAGGTTACGGGGTTCCTTGGGCAAGCCTGCTTGCCAAAGAGATAGTTTGGAAGCAATTTTTGTATTTATTTACCCGTTGTTAGGCACGTGTTTAGTAACACTTAAAAATGGTTTCTGGACAGCTGGACACCCAACGCCTAACCAAAGCCGTCGACTTCATGGCCTTAAGGGATCTTTGGACGGTCATATGTATTACAGTGGTACCTCGGGTTAAGTACTTAATTCGTTCCGGAGGTCTGTTCTTAACCTGAAACTGTTCTTAACTTGAAGCACCACTTTAGCTAATGGGGCCTCCTGCTGCTGCCGCACCGCTGGAGCACGATTTCTGTTCTCATCCTGAAGCAAAGTTCTGAACCTGAAGCACTATTTATGGGTTAGTGGAGTCTGTAACCTGAAGCGTATGTAACCCGAGGTACCACTGTACTGGGTTCACTTCTTTTTAAAAAAGTATTAAACTTGCTGTGTGGCATTTGGGGGCATTTTTGCTCATGCCGCTGCATGGATCCCCGGGCTTCTGCCTATAATTATTATTATTATTATTATTATTATTATTATTATTATTATTATGATGTCACTCTTCTGACTGGATTGCCCCAGCCATGCTGGGCGGCTCTCAGCAAAATATTTTTTTTTTAAAATAATTTTTATTAAAATTTCAATAAAAATTAAACAAAAAAACATAAAAGTAGAAATACAAAAACACACAATACATAATCCAAGAAGAAAAAGAAAACACAGAAAACAGAATACAAAACAAGAACTAAAAAGAAACAAAACAATTAAAAACAATATCACTTTTCCATTTCCGTTTTTAAATTTACTTATTTTCTGGACTTCCTCATACCTCCCTCTTTTGTATTCCAGTCCAAATTGTTTGTCCAGCAATTTCTTTTCCACTTTTTTAATCCCAATCTTTAAACTTAATATAATATGTAACTCTTAAAACTTCTTTAATCCTAATCTTTAATCTTAATGTAATATAACATTAAATTTTTACCTCTTAAGTACCAAATTTCCATTTCCTTAAACATCTTTAATCCTAATCTTAAATCTTAGTCTATCAATCACTTTAACCTGTACAGCTAGAAGCCACTTATTTTCGATCCAACATCATTCTAACATTCTTTAATTTTGCAATGTTTCTGAAGATAATCTTTGAATTTCTTCCAATCTTCCTCCACCGACTCTTCTCCCTGGTCACGGATTCTACCAGTCATTTCCGCCTGTTCCATATAGTCCATCAGTTTCATCTGCCATTCCTCCAGCGTGGGAAGTTCTTGTGTCTTCCAGGCTCTCAGCAAAATATTAAAAACACAGTAAAGCAGGGGTCAGCAACCTTTTTCAGCCGTGGGCCGATCCACCGTCCCTCAGAGCATGTAGTGGGCCAGACTATATTTTTTTGGGGGTGGGTGGGAATGAACGAATTCCTGTGCCCCATAAATAACTCAGAGATGCATTTTAAATAAAAGCACACATGCTACTCATGTAAAAACATGCTGATTCCCGGACCATACGCAGGCTGGATTGAAAAGGCGAATGGGCCGCATCCGGCCAACGGGCCTTAGGTTGCCTACCCCTGCAGTAAAGTACCAGCCATTAAAAAGCTTCCCTGAACAGGGCTGCCTTCAGATGTCTTGTAAAAGTCAAATAGTTGTTTATCTCCTTGACATCTGATGGGAGGGTGTTCTTCAGGGAGGGCGCCACTACCAAGAAGGCCCCGTGCCCAGTTCCCCGTAGCTTCACGTCTCTGGCAGGGAGGGAACCGCCAGAGGCATCAAAAGCAGGGCATCACGGACGTCAAACAGAAGCCGAGGCGGCTTCTGCGAATCCATAATATCCCGCTGAATTTGGCACAGCCGGGTGGTGTGGTGTTCAAGCCACCGTGAATCTCATTGGATGACCTTGGACCAATGGACGCCTCTTCTGCCTAACCTATCTCGCAGGATCGTTGTGAGGATTAAATGGGGAGCTGTGAAATCTAATGCAAGAAATTAAGTGTGGAAAGCCGTGTGTTCGGGTTGGGGTGGCATGGAGTTCAGTCCTTGCCCAGCCAGGACGCCCACCGAGAGGTGACCTTGGTGCTATTGTTGCCCCTCACAGGGGTATGAAAGGAAAATAAGTTAGATGTGGATCGCATGGCACTATAACTGCCCTGAGACCTCTGGGTATAAATTCAATAAATACAGTGGTATCTCGGGTTACATACGCTTCAGGTTACATACGCTTCAGGTTACAGACTCCGCTAACCCAGAAATATTACCTCAGGTTAAGAACTTTGCTTCAGGATGAGAACAGAAATCGGGCTCCGGCGGTGCAGCAGCAGCAGGAGGCCCCATTAGCTAAAGTGGTGCTTCAGGTTAAGAACAGTTTCAGGTTAAGAACAGACCTCCAGAACAAATTAAGTTCTTAACCTGAGGTACCACTGTAGAACACAGGAAGGGCATCTTCCCCAGAATATGGTCATTTATGGACTATTTAGCGAAGTAGACCCTCCCCCCTGATTTTCATAGTTAAAAATGAATGTAACAGCCACATGACTGAGAAATGTATATGTATAGGTTAAGAACAGTTTCAGGTTAAGTACAGACCTCCAGGACGAATTAAGTACTTAACCTGAGGTACCACTGTAATAATAACAACTATAATTAAGAACGCAAGGGAGACTGGATATTTGAAGACACAAGAATTACAAGCAATTTGTGACATAACACGAAATGTTCCTCTTTGAGTCTACTTTGTTTTGTTTTTGCTTTTATGCTTTTTCAGTCAAAAGTAATACAATTGGTTCAAACAGAAATTGTTTTAAGCTCCATAAGAACAGCTTCCCGCATATTGCAAAGTGCATTTCTGACAAGCACCCCCAGGGTTACGGTGGTTGTTGTTATTTCTTAAATTAATTTATTAAATTTGCATACCGGCCTTCATCTGAAGACTGCGGGAAGGTTTGTGACCTAAAAACACAAGGTGAAAACACAAAATACCTGACGACGACAGGGGGTCTGCTTCAAATTTGGAGAGAGTGCTGTGGGCGCCGTTAACAAAATGGCTGCCATGGCGTCTGTGTGGCGTAACGCCAAATGGCTGCCACATCTGAAAGGACGGAAAAAGATACCGGACCACAAAATGACTGGGAGCGTGCCTCTTTCCGCATGAATGGGGAGAAAAGGCGCCTACATCAGACGCCATGCTTGCTTGCAAACAGAAGCTTTTTGCACTTTTCCTCTTCAGAACGTGGCAGAGGGTGGGTGCCCAGTAAAATGATCGGGGTGGGGTGGGGTTCAGTGTTGGAAAGGCTGAGTTGGCGTGGACAGAACCCAAAAGGGAATAGCAAACATTTAGGACTTGATTTTTGAAGCGATATTTATGGAGACCTTTTCAGGGGGCACACTGTTATCCACGACAGACCCATGCATACGAACATTTTGAAATACTTCTGCACACATTCCTCAGTGCGTTCCCTCTGGTGTTTCCCGCCACGGTCGTAGTAATGCGGAGGTGCCTTTTACGTGTGGTAAAAACCCAGGAATATGGCAAGGAGGGGCCTCTGCGGAGAGTGCCAGCTGCATTTTCGCTAATTGAATTGAACGGCAGATGGCTTGGAGTTTTTGGCAGTGCTGGGCAGGGGATATTGCCGGCCAGCAAGGTGGCTTGCATAATAAGTGGATTCTGCCGCAGCGCTCCTAACTGCTCTGCTGGCTTCTAATTTATCTCCCATGATTGAAAAACTCTTTCAAAGGGGACCCCTTGGTAGTTTCTTAAAGTGTGTCTCGGAAACTAAAATGGAGGGGCAGGGCTAGAATTGTATGGAAGGCACCTTGTTGCAGGAAAGGTTTAAAAGCGACCCCTGACCATTAGGTCTAGTTGTGGCCAACTCTGGGGTTGCGGTGCTCATCTCGCTTTACTGGCCGAGGGAGCCAGTATACAGCTTCCGGGTCATGTGGCCAGCATGACTAAGCCACTTCTGGTGAACCAGAGCAGCGCACGGAAACGCCGTTTACCTTCCCGCCGGAGTGGTTCCTATTTCTCTACTTGCACTTTGACGTGCTTTCGAACTGCTAGGTTGGCAGGAGCAGGGACTGAGTAACGGGAGCTCACCCCGTCGCGGAGATTCGAACCGCCAACCTTCTGATCGGCAAGTCCTAGGCTCTGTGGTTTAACCTACAGCGCCACGTGCGTTCCTTATACTCCTATACTTAAAGGTAAAGGTAAAGGTAAAGGGACCCCTGACCATTAGGTCCAGTTGCGGACGACTCTGGGGTTGCGGCACTCGTCTCGCTTTATTGGCCGAGGGAGCCGGCGTACAGCTTCCGGGTCATGTGGCCAGCATGACTAAGCCACTTCTGGCGAACCAGAGCAGCGCACGGAAACGCCGTTTACCTTCCCGCCGGAGCGGTACCTATTTATCTACTTGCACTTTGAGGTGCTTTCAAACTGCTAGGTTGGCAGGAGCAGGGACTGAGTAACGGGAGCTCACCCCGTCGCGGAGATTCGAACCGCCAACCTTCTGATCGGCAAGTCCTAGGCTCTGTGGTTTAACCCACAGCGCCACCTGCGTCCCAGCAGGAAAGGTTAGTCATCCGTAAATCTATTCCAGGGGTAGCTAATGTGGGGGTTTTCCCATCAGCCCTAAACAGCATGGCCTTTGGCATGGGTGTAGCCAACATTTTGCAGAACTTCAGTTAGCTATGTATTTTTATTGTTTTGTATTGATTTGGGGGAGGGTGGCAGCTGCCCCTCCCTGCCCTCCCCTTGGCTACGCCCATGGCCATTGGAGAGGGATGGTGGGAGTTGTAGTTTAGCAACATATTAAGGGCACCGCGTCGGCCACCGCGATCTGCTTTGGTAGGTACAAACTCTGCCCTGCTATTTTTTGGCAAGGAAGCGAGAGAAGTAGAAACTGCTCCCCGTTAAATGTTTTGATGGACCTACGCGTCACTGAATACTGCTCTTTTTGGGGAAGCCGCAGGGATTTCTGTTGGATTTTGGATTTTCTCTCCCTCTGCCTAGCGGATCCCTTTGAAACAATGCTGAAGTCCTTGTTGCGGTACCAGTCCGGCCTCGGCGGAGATGCAGGTGAGAGCTGCTTGAGGAAGAAGCTCTATGAAAACGGAGTGACCAAGTGTCTGCAGAACAACTTCTCAGCCATTCAGAAGGTGAATCGCCTAGTCTTGAGGGCTCACTGCGTTGTTTGGTAGCAATGTAGGTGGGTGGGTGGGTGTCTGTCTGAGCAAGGCAAGTCCCTTTTGAGGCACCGGCAAGGTGGTGGACGTAATGAGATGCCAAGTTATTAGGGTTGTTGTTGTTGTTGTTTAGTCGTTTAGTCGTGTCCGACTCTTTGTGACCCCATGGACCAGAGCACGCCAGGCACTCCTGTCTTCCACTGCCTCCCGCAGTTGGTCAAACTCATGTTGGTAGCTTCGAGAGCACTGTCCAACCATCTCGTCCTCTGTCGTCCCCTTCTCCTTGTGCCCTCCATCTTTCCCAGCATCAGGGTCTTTTCCAGGGAGTCTTCTCTTCTCGTGAGGTGGCCAAAGTATTGGAGCCTCAGCTTCAGGATCTGTCCTTCCAGTGAGCACTCAGGGCTGATTTCCTTCAGAATGAGTAGGTTTGATCTTCTTGCAGTCCATGGGACTCTCAAGAGTCTCCTCCAGCACCATAATTCAAAAGCATCAATTCTTCGGCAATCAGCCTTCTTTATGGTCCAGGTCTCACTTCCACACATCACTACTGGGAAAACCATAGCTTCAACTATACGGACCTTTGTTGGCAAGGTGATGTCTCTGCTTTTCCTAATATTGCTGTTGGTAAATCTTTCATCATTAGCATGCAGAAATCTGCTTGCTTCATCCCCAGTTAAACCTTGCCCGCTTATTTCCATCTTACATTCTTTAAACTTTGCAAAGCCCCATCTGTGCTCTGAGATGTGAAAGCCCCCAGGTGAGTTGGCATCCACATGGACTTCTTTCTTGGAGGGAGCAGCTTCATACTCTTTTCCTTGGGGACATGCAGGCCTTTTTTTAATGACGCGGGTGGCACTGTGGGTTAAACCACAGAGCCTAGGACTTGCCGATCAGCAGGCTGTAGCCATGGACATGCTATGTGATCTGATGGTGAATTTGGGGTGACCCAATGTAAAAATTCTGAGGATCCGTGGGCTTTTACCTCCCCCGTCCCAGGCAGCCTCCGCTAGCGTCCCTTATCTCTCTTCCGATCCCACCGATCAGCTGTTTCCTTTCAACACTCCCTTCCCTCTTGTTTGCCTTAGTGTCTTTTCCTTAGCTGGAGCAGTATTTTGCTCCTCCTTTTCTTCTAATTTATCTCCTTATTGCTTTAGTCTTCCTGTTTCCCCCCTTTGCTGTCTTTACCTCCCCTCTCCCAGGCAGCCTCCTTTATCTTTAGCGTCCCTTATCTCTCTCCCCGCAAACGACCAGCGGCTTTGTTTCAACACCCACTTCCCTCTTTCAAAAAAAAAGCATGATCTGCTTTTTGCCCCTGGGCAATTCGGCTCCAGGGACCACAGATCCACTCCATAAGAGGCACAGACATTTCCCCTTACTTTTTAGGAAGAAAAAATGCGTCTTATGGAGCGAAAAATACAGTATATTGTGGCATTTTTGTATTGGATCAGATTGTTAGAAGGGGTGTGATCTTCGTTGTTTCTTCAGCTTGCAAACTGCCTTGTATATCTTAATATAGAAAGGCGGTCTAACAAATTAAAAGCGAAATGAAATATTGATAGCTGTTGGGCGAAGACAAGTAACAAATGCTTCCTTTACCTTAGTTCGTTCTTGAAGTCACTTGGGGGGGCAAAGCAATGGTTTGACACAGGATCTCTCTTCTTTTCTTCAAGCTATCAGATGAGCTTCTTGCAAAATGGCTGTCCTTCCCTGAATCTCAACATGTGCCCCTCAGTCAGCACATGCTTGGCTTTTCGATGAAGGCCGTCACTCAAGCCGCAATGGGCGGCAGGTTCGAGGATGACCAGGAAGTGATCCGGTTCCGTAAGAACCACGATGCGGTAAGCGTCTGGAAAGGGAGAGAAAGAAATGTTATTTCTCAAGTTCTTGCTTCTGATTGTCTTGCAATCCCTGCACTTTTTGATTCCCAGGCACATTTAGCCTAAAACAGTTTAGCCCAGAGTGGATAAAAATCGCTGATTAAAAAAAAAAAAAAATCGGATTAAAAAAAATTTAAATCGGATTTTTTTAAATTTACATCGGATTTTTAAAATAAAATGCCTTTGGAGGAAAAATCTTTCTAAAGATAGTTTTCTATTTAAGTAACATTATAGACCAAAGGCTATTCATCAGGAAATAAGGATTTTTTAAAAGTTTTTCATGTGTGCTAAAACTCAGGCTTATGTTCTTTTTTAAAAAAAAAAGTTTAACCACATCATTATATGCTATAATGTTATTGTTTTAGCTAAATTGTTTAAATTGTTATTAAGGAAATGATTGCTTTTCTCCTTCCAATTAAGTACATCAGGAAAGTTGTCCAAATATAAACAATTAACTTATTAAACCTCACAATAATTTCATAACTATGTATTTCTAATAGTATAACCAAATCAGTAATTTTTATATAACTGTAAAAACTACTCTGAAAATTTATTATTCCAAAAATGAAAGCTTCATGTGATGGTAAATATTAAGATGATACCAGCAAGAATGAGTCTTTCTGTAAAAAAAAAGATTTAATTCAAGTCCTACTGACAAGTGATTTAAATTGTGATTTAAATCAAATCCACCCTGATTTAGGCACAATCTCTTGCAGAGAGACCGTCTCTGGGAATTATTGGAGCCGGCATAGGCAAACTCGGCCCTTCAGATGTTTTGAGACTACAATTCCTACCATCCCTGACCACTGGTCTTGTTAGCTAGGGATCATGGGAGTTGTAGTCCCAAAACATCTGGAGGGCCGAGTTTGCCTATGCCTGTAGTGGACTGTTTGCTTGGGTTTCCCTTGGCGGGACTTCTGTGGGTTTGGCTGGGAGAATCCCACAGCAATCAGTTTCGTAAATTCATTCCTCTGTTAGCAGACAGCTCAGAGAATGCTGTGTCGCTCTTCAGAGTGGCTCTAACCATTGCTCCTTTCCGGGGAAGTCACTGGGGTGGAGTATTACCTTCACTACAACAAACCTGTGAGAGAGGCTAGGATTCTGGGAATTCTTCATGGGGTGGGTTTTAATTGCCCTCTAGCAAGGGGGGCGACAGGAACCCCAGTCTTCCTCTCTAGTCGGGCTGGGATGTGAGTGAATATTGTCCCTGCAGTTGTGCTAGCCTTTAAGGGACTTAGCAGAGGTGTTAAAGACCTGTGGGAATGTTTAGGGATGCGGGGGAGGATATATTGTCTAAGATATCCTATCCCAACCTGTCTTTACAAGTTCAACAAAATCAGCAGAGTTAACATTCCCCCTTTTTAAAACACACACACACAGCAGATAGCTTGCTCAGACTCATTAGAGTCTCGTGCTTTGGCGGCGCGGCAGCAGCAGGAGGCCCCATTAGCTAAAGTGGTGCTTCAGGTTAAGAACAGTTTCAGGTTAAGAACGGACCTCCGGAACGAATTAAGTACTTAACCCGAGGTACCACTGTACGTAAATCCGGCACTGCTCCCACCAGCTGCAAGGTAGAGATGAAGGCTGTGGTGGACTTTTTTCTTGGTCTTGCAAGGCTTAGTGACACCAAACCGAGCCCCAGCCTTTGCCTCCAACTCCAGAGGAAAGATGGGGACTGATGTTTTTGATACCCAAGGTGTCCAGAGCGATAGCATTGCGTGGAGAGGAGGGGCAGATTTCTGCCCACGGCCAACTTTGACAAAACGAAACGGTGAACCCCTCATGGAGACATTTGCCCATAGCCACTCGGCCAGCTTCCTAAGCGAGCATGGATTTGAAAATGAGCTTTTTTGCACCCTAACGTTCTCATTGCCATGGATCTGATTATGCCTTTCGCTCATAAATAAATATAATCTCACAAGTACAGTGGTACCTTGGTTCTCAAACTTAATCCGTTCTGGAAATCCATTCCAAAACCAAAGCATCTCAAAACCAAGGTGCGCTTTCCCATAGAAAGTAATGCAAAATGGATTAATCCGTTCCAGACTTTTCAAAGCAACCCCTAAAACAGCAATTTAACCTGAATTTTACAATCTAACGAGACCATTGATCGATAAAATAAAAGCAATGAATAATGTACTGCAGTCACACAATCAATCAGTAGCTGAACTGGGTTCCATGCAGTCACAAAAACAAAAAAAGAGACACAAAAATGCAAAATACCGTATTTTTTGCTCTATAAGACTCACTTTTCCCCTCCTAAAAAGTAAGGGGAAATGTGTGTGCGTCTTATGGAGTGAATGCAGGCTGTGCAGCTATCCCAGAAGCCAGAACTGCAAGAGGGATCGCTGCTTTCACTGCGCAGCGATCCCTCTAGCTGTTCTGGCTTCTGAGATTCAGAATATTTTTTTTCTTGTTTTCCTCCTCCAAAAACTAGGTGTGTCTTGTGGTCTGGAGCGTCTTATAGAGTGAAAAATACGGTAAATAACAAAAACAGACCTCAGCGTAACACTCAAAACGGAAGTGTGGCACTCAAATCAGAAGTGTAACACTCAAAACGGCCTCCGAAAAAGACTTGCACACCGGAACACTTACTTCCGGGTTTGCAGTGTTTGGGTTCCAAGGCGTTTGAGAACCAAGGTACCACCGTAGTTGTAATTTCTGTTGCCATGATCCCAAGTCCTGTATTGCTGAGTTTTGTAGCCGATCATTTGTTGGAAGGAGCATCCTGGCTCTGTTTCAGCAGCGCTCTTTTGGACCATTCGGTGTGATTTATCCCGAGGGATTGATCTGCCCACTTTCTGTTAATGGAGCCTTACCTCCAGCTGTGCCAGCAACTGCTGCGTAAGCCTTCCTCCTTGTAAATACCGCTCTAACGCAGTAGTCGTCAATCTACACCTAAGGCACGTTGGCTTGGATCCTAAGGTCAGTTGACTTAAGGAAGTTCATGGAAGAAAAGGTTCCCACCCAAACCCGCAGTTTCCTGCAAAAAAAGCACCCCTCCACCCCCAGAAGGGACGCGGGTGGCGCTGTGGGTCAAACCAGAGAGCCTAGGACTTGCCAATCAGAAGGTCAGCGGTTCAAATCCCCAAGACGGGGTGAGCTCCCATTTTTCGGTCCCTGCTCCTGCCAACCTAGCAGTTCGAAAGCACGTCAAAGTGCAAGTAGATAAATAGGTACCGCTCCGGCGGGAAGGTAAACAGTGTTTCCGTGCACTGCTCTGGTTCGCCAGAAGCAGCTTAGTCATGCTGGCCACATGACCCAGAAGCTGTACGCCGGCTCCCTCGGCCAATAAAGCGAGAGGAGCGCCGCAACCCCAGAGTCGGTCACGACTGGACCTAATGGTCAGGGGTCCCTTTACTTTTTACCACCCCCAGAAACCATAGCTAAGGGAAATGAGGAGCTCTTGCTGAACCATGTGGTTGGGGAAACCTTTTATTCAGTGAAATTCCTTACGTTTTGTTTTAGGATTCGGGCCAGTGAGAGCCAGTCTCTTATTACAATTACAGTGGTACCTCAGGTTACAGATGCTTCAGGTTACAGACTCCGCGAACCCAGAAATAGTACCTTGGATTAAGAACTTTGCTTCAGGATGAGAACAGAAATCATGCTCTGGCGGCACGGTGGCAGCTGGAGGCCCCATTAGTTAAAGTGGTGCTTCAGGTTAAGAACAGTTTCACGTTAAGAACGGACCTCCGGAACGAATTAAGTTCTTAACCAGAGGTACCACTGTATAGAACTAAAGCCCTAATTTTTATTTTTCCGGGGAGACTGATTTAAGACAAGATGCTTAATAAGACTTGGAAAGATAATGCGATTCATCTGCACTTGTTTCAGATCTGGTCAGAAATTGGAAAGGGCTTCTTGGATGGGTCCCTTGACAAAAGCATGACTCGAAAAAAGCTGTATGAAGACGGTGAGTTTAATCCCGGGGTCCGTGCATTAGCTCTGCAGGTGTGGATGCGACTATCTATCCAGCCTGCAAAATTCATTTTCTTTTTGTGTGTGTGGATGAATTAGGTATGCTTGCCTATTTCTTTTTTAAAAAAATATTTTTTATTGATTTTAACATATAAATTATAAAATGTACCACAAAACCTATCATTTATACAATCTTTTTGGACTTCCATCAGCAGCTCTGATGATCCACCGTTTTAACCACTTCTTATGCATTTCTTAACTTTATATTGCCTTTACATCTCTTAACAAATCATCCTCCCCCTTCTCCATTTTTGCAATACTTCCAATAATACTCCTCACAAAACTTCTTGCAAACCTACAAACGTCATCTGATCTTCACAAGTACTTTTCAAATAGTCCGTAAATTTGCTCCAGTTTTCCGTGAATTTCTGGTCCCGCCGGTTTCGAATCCTTCCTGTTAGTTTATCTAGTTCTGCATAGTCCATTAACTTCATCCTCCATTCTTCAATCGTCGAGGTATGCTTGCCTATTTCACAGGATTTGCCCAGAATGTCTTCAAATCAATAGGCCTTCAAATCAGAATGTCTTCAGACCATTGCCCTGGATTTGGTTCTCTTTTAACCATTTTCACAAGAAAGAAAGAAAAACCGCATCCTTGCCACTGCAGAGAGAGGCTTAAAAATGTGAAGTTAAGGGTAGTTTGGTTTTAAGCAGAACTTCCAGGAGCCCTGGAGGTATTGCTCCAGCAATCTACTGTAGTACAGCCTCTGGCAAATTGAATAAGGCAGGACTTTTCAAATAACTTTTCAAATACTTTGTGCTGTCCTTTGCAGGCAGCTTGTTGTCCAATGCAGCTATTACATCAGATCGTTTGCCTTACTGAGTTGAACTACACGCAGCTAAGAACATGTGGTTCTTGAACCAGTCCAATAATTCCTCTCTTCATTCATCTTCCTACTCAACAAATCGGTGTGCCCATTAAGTGGATTGCACACAGCCAAAGGCCTTTACACTTTAAAATAAACTGGGCACATTTTGTGCAATACTTTTCGTATCTGTAGGCAGGGGAGAGACTCTGGTTATTGGTTTAGTCTGAGAGCGGCTACCTGGTGACCCACAATATAGTCATATCTTGGTTCTCAAATGCCTTGGAACTCCCAAACGCTGAAAACCGAGAAGTGTTCTGGTTTTCGAACGTTTTTCGGAAGCCGGATGTCTGATGTGGCTTTGGCTTGAGTGCAGGAAGCTCCTGCAGCCAATCGGAAGCCGCACCTTGGTTTTCGAACATTTCGGAAGTTGAACGGACGTCCGGAACAGATTACCGTATTTTTCACTCTGTAACACGCACCAGACCACAAGAGTTTTTGGAGGAGGAAAACAAGAAAAAAAATATTCTGAATCCCAGAAGCCAGAACTGCAAGAGGGATCGCTGCGCAGTAAAAGCAGCAATCCCTCTTGCTGTTCTGGCTTCTGGGATAGCTGCGCAGCCTGCATTCGCTCCATAAGACGCACACACATTTCCCCTTACTTTTAAGGAGGGAAAAAGTGAGTCTTATAGAGCAAAAAAATACGGTATGTTTGAGAACCAAGGTACGACTGTATGTTGTTGAACCCCCAACTTCTATAACCCCCCGATAGCATGGCCTGCCATCAGGGATGATGGGAGCGTTAGTCTAGCAACGGGATCCCTGGTAGCTATTATTATTCTCTCTCTCTCTCTCACACACACACATTTTTCAAAAGGGCACAGTAAGCAATAAACCACGTCTGCATTTACGTGCCAAGAAAGTGATGCTGAGATCTCTTGACAATGCACTCTCTGCTCCAAAGGGGAGCTGCATGTGAAGGGATGTGCTTAGCTCAGATTCCACCTCTTCAGAGTCCAAGATGGATGGCGGCTAAAAATACCGTACTTAGACTTGGAGTGGTTTGTAACTTTAGGAATGTTGTGGCTCAGTATTCAGCTGCCTTGTATGGGAGGAAGCGTAGAAAGACAATTACAGATTTATTCATTATTTGCTTGGGGGTGTAAGAAATGCTTCTTTCCCTCCTCCAGCTTGTCCATGCTATATATATTTTTAATAAATTGCATTTTCCAAAAAACAGGAACAGAGCGCATATTTAACCCCTCCCCCCCTTCCCACTTACAACTTCATACCAAATACAGCATGTATACATATACTATATGACTTCCCTTCCACGCTTTTCCTGGTTCCTTTGCTTTTCTACTGCTCTGCGTAATCCACACCTTTTTAATCATCCAGTTTGTTATCTATTAAATACTCTGTCTATTTCAAGTTTGCTGGATCAAGACCTGCCAAGCTATGTATTTGTCTATAAAAGTAAAGGGTAAAGGGACCCCTGACCATTTGGTCCAGTCGTGGCCGACTCTGGGGTTGCGGCGCTCATCTCGCTTTATTGGCCGAGGGAGCTGGCGTACAGCTTCCGGGTCATGTGGCCAGCATGACTAAGCCACTTCTGGCGAACCAGAGCAGCGCACAGAAACGCCGTTTACCTTCCCGCTGCAGTGGTACCTATTTATCTACTTGCACTTTGAGGTGCTTTCGAACTGCTAGGTTGGCAGGAGCAGGGACCAAGCAATGGGAGCTCACCCCGTTGCAGGGTTTCGAACCACCGACCTTCTGATCAGCAAGCCCTAGGCTCTGTGGTTTAACCCACAGTGCCACCCGCGTCCCTCTCTTATTTGTCTATACTCGTTCTTAAAATATTCAATAAACATTGTCCATTCCTTCTTATATTCTTTATCTTTGTTTTCTCTTATCCTGTTCGTCAGACCAGCCAGTTCAGCATATTCAAACATTTTACACTGCCATTCTTCCTTAGTGGGTACTAGACTTGTTCTCCACCTTTGTGCCGATAAGGTTCTAGCTGTGGCTGTGGCGTATAGTAATAAACTATTTTGAGTTTTTTGGGGGCTTCCATTGTTACCATCCCCAAGAGGAAAATCTCAGGTGTTTTGGGGAAAGTTTTTTTTAAGTATCTTTTTTAAATTCATTATATATAGTTTCCCAATATTCCTTAATTATTTTACAGGACTACCACATGTGGGGGGAAAAGATCCCTCATTTTCATTACACTTCCAGCATACATCTTTTTTCTTTTTTAGACATTTTCACCAATCTGGTGGGTGCTGAATACCATCTGTGAGCCATTTCCCTCTTTTCTTTCATCGCATAACATACCATAAAATTCATATTTATTTGCCACAACTTTCCCCATAATTCATAATCGATATTGTGACCTGCGTCTTGTGCCCGTTTAATCATGCTCGATTTCACAGATTCCTCTTTAGTTTCCCACTCCAACAACAGTTCGTACATTTTTGAGAACACTTTTATATTTGTATCTAATAAGTCTTTGGTAAGCTGAGAATTGAGGGATGCGGGTGGCACTGTGGGTTAAACCACCGAGCCTAGGGCTTGCCGATCAGAAGGTTGGCGGTTCGAATCCCCACGACGGGGTGAGCTCCCGTTGCTCGGTCCCTGCTCCTGCCCACCTAGCAGTTCAAAAGCACACCAGTGCAAGTAGATAAATAGGTACCACTCTGGCGGGAAGGTAAACGGCGTTTCCGTGCGCTGCTCTGGTTCGCCAGAAGTGGCTTAGTCATGCTGGCCACATGACCCGGAAGCTGTACGCTGGCTCCCTCAGCCAATAAAGTGAAATGAGTGCCACAACCCCAGAGTCAGCCACGACTGGACCTAATGGTCAGGGGTCCCTTTACCTTTAAGCTGCGACTTTTGTTCTGCAAAGAAGACGAAGAAGAAGAGTTTGGATTTGATATCCCGCTTTATCACTAGCCAGTAGGTGTAGTCGTCAAAGCGATAGCTAACATTCTGGACCAGGTTCGCCTTCCGCTCCCCACAACAAACAGCTGCTGTGAAGTGAGCTAGGGCTGAGTCAGACTTCTAGAGAAGTGTGACTCAGCCCAAGGTCACCTCAGCAGCTGCTTGTTGTGGAGGAGGCAGGGAATGCGAACCTGGTTCTGAGATTACTGAGGCTATCGCTGCTTAACCACGACACCACATCTAGCTCATTCCCCCATATACATGCATATGGCTGTGTAGGCTCCCCTTCGAGAAGATATACCCACTTAATGATGTTTTGGGTTGGAGGCAGTAGGTGCCGTTCCACAGTGCAGACGGCTTTGGAGAAAGAGATCTGCAGAGCTGCTTTCAAGCCGCTCATTTAATCTACAGCAGCTGCGGGAACCGTTGGTCCTTCGGATTCTGCTGAGCTCCAACTCCCATCAGCACCGGGGAATGGCCAGGAATGATAGGAGTTGTCGTTCTTCAACATCTGGCGGTCCAAAGGTTCCCCACGCGTGATCTGTAACGCATGAAGCAGCCCTCACGAAGGAGCGGACTGCAAACCGCCTGGCAGGGTATGTCAAGGCAGACTCTGAGACAATGCCCTCTGCCGGCTAATGAAAGAACCGTTTTGTTTTCCTGTGCCCGAAGCTCTGATGGACATGGAGTTGGTCTTGAAGAAAGTCATAAAAGAACGGCAGGGGAAAAATCTCAGCCGAGACATCTTCATAGACGCTTTACTGCAGGGGAAGCTGAGCGACAAGCAGGTATCTACATCTGTGCTGTAATTAACCATTAATGGAAGTCCCGCTAGACCCGCTGGTAATTGCATTCTGCTGGGCTTGATTAATTTAATTGCCTGCATTGTTTCCCCCGAATTTAATCTTCATCCGAGAGAGGAAGAGAGAGGGGTGGGGGAGGGTTTTCTCCTTTCACAACCTTGAAGCTTTAAATACCGTATTTTTCACTCTATAGGACACACTTTTTCCCCTCCAAAAATTAAGGGGAAATGTGTGTGCGTCCTATGGAGCGAATGCAGGTTCCTTGGCTTCAGCGATAGCAACGCGAAGCCTCCAAAGCGCAGAGGGAGCGCTCCCTCCGCGCTCCAGAGGCTTCGCGTTGCTTTCGCTGAAGCCTGGAGAGCGAGAGGCGTCGGTGCGCACCGACCCCTCTCGCTCTCCAGGCTTCAGGGATAGCCCCCTTAAGCCTTTGGAGCGTAGCATGAGTTCCCGCTGCATTCTGGAGGCTTCAGGTTGCTTTTGCTGAAGCCGGGAGAGTCTTGCTCTCCCGGCTTCAGCAAAAGGAACCCAAAGCCTGAGGAGCGCAGCAGGAACTTGCGCTGCGCTCGGAAGGCTTCAGGGATAGCCGCATGCAGCCCCTCTGGCAGGGAGAGGTTGCGCGCAGCCTGTACGCTGCTCTTTGGGTCTGGGGGGGGAATAAGATTTTTTTTCTTGATTTCCCCCTCTAAAAACTAGGTGCGCCCTATGGTCCGGTGCGCCCTATGGAGCGATAAATACGGTAGATAGATTTCTATTTGATTGCTCTCTTTGCTTTTGTCCCGAGAGAAGCGTTTGAAGCAGCTACGTCTGCTTAACATGGCTCCATGCAGCGTTGACCTTTGTGGGGGAGTGGCTAGCCCGCGGCTTGCAAGGCATGCTGGTCCAAGTCTTTCAGGTTCCATGTTTGAACCTCAGGCCGCCATCTTGGAATCCTTGAGCAGCTGGCATTTAAAGGCCGCTGTTGTGACTCGTCCTCCTGAGTGAGCCAGAAGCACCTTCTGTTCCAAGCATGACTTCCTCCCTGGAGGGAACCGCCAACTCAAGTCGAGTGAGCATGTTTCTTGGCAAGGTCATTGCTCGTCTGAAGGAAGACCCTTTGGGCAAGCAGTCTGGGACCTTTAATAAGGCACAGCATTCATGACACCAACTTGAGTTCAAACCCCACTCAGGGGAAAGGGACAGGGTTGGGGCCCCCTTGCCAGTTTGAAAAGCCACTCATGTCGGGAGCAGAAGAGAGGGTGATCCTGAGACTCGAATGTACGACATTTGCTCCATAGAGCAGCTCATTAGCCATTTGACCACCACAGCAGTTGAGCACCTTCGCTGGTACAGTGGTACCTTGGTTCTCAAACTTAATCTGTTCCAGAGGTCCGTTCCAAAACAAAGCGTGCTTTCCCATAGAAAGTAATGCAAAATGGATTAATCCGTTCCAGACTTTTAAAAACAACCCCTAAAACAGCAATTTAGCATGAATTTAACAGCAATTTAACATGAATTTTACTATCTAACAAAATCATTGATCCATAAAATGAAAACAATAATCAATGTACTGTACTATAAAGTAAAAAAGACAGTATTCTGGATTATAAAAATTAAAATTATTATTTTTTTCTTACCTGCATTGATGATAGTCATTGTTTGGATGGGGGGGCTTTTATCCATTTCCGCAGTCACACAATCAATCAATCAGTAGCTGAACTGGGTTCCACTGAGTCACAAAAACAAATTAACCAAAAAAGCCTCAAAAACACAAAATAAATAGCAAAAGCGCCAACCTTAATCAGTTCCGGAAGTCCATTTGACTTCCGAAATGTTCGAAAACCAAGGCGCAGCTTCTGATTGGTGCAGGTGCCCCGGAAACAATAGCAGACAGCCGCATTGGACGTTCAGCTTCTGAAAAACGTTCAAAAACCAGAACACTTACTTCTAGGTTTTCAGCGTTTGAGAACCAAGGTACCACTGTACACCCTATTGAACACAGTGGTTCACAAATATGAGGGTTCTTTGTGTATCTGTGTAGGTTTTTGAATGTTTGCGTGACGTTGCACATTTTTTCTACCCCGAACATCTGTAAAGGGGCTATGGAAGATAAGTCATTCCTGCTGTTCCCAAGTTTTTCCTACTATATCTGTAATTAATAAGTATAGAATTAATTCCAGGTCCTAATATTGTTATTTTTTTACATATTCTAAACAAACTATTTAGAATATATACTATTAATAACTAGAGCGATTACTCAGATCCTGCTAATTTATTATTTGTCCCCTCAGCCAAGATTTTGGATGGGATAGTGACAATTTTTACCATGTACTGATTCGGTCTCCCTGAACCAGACTTTGTTTCCTAGATTTTGGAAGACACAATGATATTCTCGCTGGCAGGGTCCATAATCACAGCTAAGTGTAAGTACACAAAACGGAACATAAAGCATTGTGCAACTGACGGGCGTAGGCTTGTGCCTGTGAAAACTCAAGACACAATAGATTTTAGTCTTCAAGGTCCTAGGCCAATGGAAATATAGACAGTTGCCCATAGGACCAAGCCTAGTGATAGGTGAGCAACGGCAAAGAGTGTATTATGTTGGGACTCTGAAGTGAGACCCACGTAGCAGAAGTTGCGCCTAGTTCCATTCTCTACACAGAGGCAGCTTGAAGTCCAAAATAGTTTACTGGGGCAGAAGATAAGGCTTCAGTAATACAGTTCCAGACATTGATATAGGCATACAGCTTGTTGGCTTTGCAGATACAGATATATACAAATATTTCTGTTGATGCAACAGTTCAGGACTTAACACAGACTCCGACTCCCAGACAAACCCACTGATTGACCAATGAACTGACATATGCCTTAATCAGCTGGCTTGGCTGAGACAGAGGGCTTTCTTGGTAGTGGCGCCCACCCTGTGGAACACCCTCCCTGTAGATGTGAAGGAAATAAGCAGCTATCCTATCTTTAAAAGACATCTGAAGGCAGCCCTGTTTAGGGAAGTTTTTAATATTTAATGCTGTACTGTTTTTAACACTTGATTGGGAGCCGCCCAGAGTGGCTGGGGAAACTCAGCCAGATGGGCGGGGTATAAATAAATTATTATTATTATTATTATTATTATTATTATTATTATTATTATTCTACACCTGTGGGCTTATACATGGGTTGATTTGTGCCCAAGAAGGAAATTAAACCCTTCCTCCATGTCCAGTTCTTGCAACATACTATGGTTGGTGAATTAGGACTAGGAAGTCTTGGGTTCAAATCACTGCTCAGCCATGAAGCTTAATATTGCCAGCTGCCCTGTGATCCTTGCATGAAGGATAGTACAGAAATTTAATTAATTAAAATGGATGACCTTGGGTCTTTGCCTTTCCAGGCTAACCTACCTTGTAGAGTTGTCCCAAAGATAAAATGGGATATCCCCACATATGAAGGACAGAATATTATTTTGATCATTATATCAGAATCAGGTTTCACTTGATTGGAGTGGCTTGAGTAGGGGTGAGATTGGTCCCCATTCATCACATGAAGCCATTTTCTACAAACCACAGCCAACTGCCCCTTACCCAATGCTGTACATGCCATTGGGCATGGCGCAGGTAGAGACATGACTGCAGATGCATGGTCATGAGCCTTAAAAGTACGCTTTTTGTTGCGTGCCGGCGAGGGAGGCTTGCTGTCACAGACTGTCAGCAGATCGGTGGTACGAACAAGCCAGCTGGGATAATGGAGCTCTCGGTAGTGCTGAAGGAATGCGTTTCCCAAATCTAAAGCCTGACTGTGCAGTCAGTCTGAAACGGGCCCCAAAATCCCCATTTTTCCTTCTCCAAGGGTCCATTAGCTAAAAACCATTAACTTGAGCACTTGAGCCAATGTATAACAAGAACCCAGCTGTATAAACAAAACCCTCTCCTTTATCAGTCCGTGACGCTTAATGGATGGCCTTGTCAGTTCCGAAGTGGAGACGGGACAGCAGAGCTGGGGCTTATCTTATCTTGTAGGTTGTAAATATCCTGACACACTGACACACAGACTCTGCAAGACAGGGTCTGTCAGCCCCCACAGCTGGAGATAGAGATGGCGTCAAGGGAAACTCCTATAGCTGAGGGACCCTCTTAACCCCAAGATAAGAGTACAGGAACAGGAACATCTGTTTATGGTCATGGATGTCAACTTACGTGTATGAGCGTACGAGGCTGGATTCCTGGGGAAGGGGGGAGAGGGTGCCTGGAGGATATATATACTGCGTGAAATTTCTCTTTCTTCGGACTTGCTGTGAACTGACCACGCAAGTGCCTTTCTGCTACTCCGGAGAGCAGAAATCAAGAACTCTTTCTCTGAATCAACCTCGGTGTCTTTTGACTCCTTCCTCCCTCTCTGGGAGCAACGCTCACCCTACCAATCGGTAAAGTCTAAGAAGGCTACAGTGCAGCTGACCCCTGCCTTAAATGGGGCATGGGGAAACTTCTACAGGCTTGAAGTTGCAGATAGGTGGAAACATTAAACCTCACTTGGCTTAGTCCCCCGTCCCCCCGCGCGGTTTGCCATGCTGCAAAGGAAAAATTGGTTGCCTGACACCATAGCGATGTCAGTTGATTGACAGGTAGGCAGTCTCCCACCCGCCTGTCGAAATGGCCAGCCCGTGGGAATGATCCATATCCCTGCTCTAGAAATTTCCAACTCCTTCAAAAGCTATTCTAGCATAGGGGCTATGAGCTAGAAGTCTATCATCTAAATCTGGGCTCTGCTTTAAACTCACTGGATAGCTTTCAGCAAGCTACTATCTCCCCAGCCTCCACCTACAATGTGGGAATAATAATAATAATTGTCTACTTTTTACAGGGTGGTTATAGCGCTGGCTGAATCTTACATGTGGCGCACTTAGGCGAAAGCACTCCATACTTGCTAAGTAGCAGCCATACTTCAAAAGAACTCTTTAGGCTTTTGAAATGTCCTTCTGGTTTTTGCAAGCAGATATTTTCATTTCCCCAGAACAGCTGTTTCCTCTTTGTGGATAGCACTGCTTCGTATGATCTGATCTTTACATTCTGCGTTTTTGCTTTCTTTTCTTAGCTACCGTACAGGAACTGTAAATCGAAAGGAAGAAATTGCTGACTTAACATATCCTCTCGTCTTTTTCTTTTTTTATATAACAGTGTGCACCTGGGCAGTTTATTTCTTGACTACCTCAAAAGAAATTCAGGAGAAGCTTTACAAGGAGATGGACCAAGTTCTTGGAAAAGGTCCAGTTACACCTGTGAAAATTGAGCAACTCAGGTATTCACTAGGTTGTGTGTGTGTTTTATGGCTGTGCTTGGGACTCAACAGCTACAACTTTACTGATAACCTAACCAGTTTTGAGAGCAGGATTGTACCACACACCCCTGCACCTCTTCCACGCTGTTGCAGTTTGGCATGTAGGAATCTCACGCAGGCAAATTCAGCTTGTGCAGTTAAAGACGATTTGGCGCTTGTGTGCAGCAACATAGCTGTCAACCGTCCCTTATTTGGCGGGAAACTCCCTTATCCCAGCGCCGTTTCCCGCTGCTGTCCCTTATTGATGGATGTCCCTTAAATTTCCCGGGTTTCAAAGGAAGCAGCTCCTCTCCCTCCCTCCCTGCTGGCCAGGGAGGAGGGAGGCTCCAACTGTGTTGCTTGGCTGCGTTGCTCACCCAATAAGGAGTCTAAGAACGACTGGGGGGTGGAGCTTGCATGCCTTGTGCCGATCAAATCAGCCGCCTTGCCTGGGGACTTGCCTTTGCTCAGCGCTTCCCAGCGGAGAGGTGACGGTGGTTTTCCTTGCTGCATCCCCTTTGCCGGGTTGCTGTGCTGTGGGAACCACCGCTTGAGGCTTCGTTTGGCTGCTGGCTGGGCTTTCTGCCTTTGGCTCGGAGGGGCTCAGAAGTTGAACATACCTGTGCTCGGAATTGGATGGATACGTCATCGATGGCCCACTCACCCTTGCTGGGGAAAAGGTCTGTCTGGAGCGGGGGCACATGGGGGAAAAGGAAAGGAGCTGGTTGAGTTCAATAGCGGGCGGTGATCTCATGGGGGGGGCTTTTGGATTTGTTTTGGAGGCTGCTTCGATTGACTGTTATGGGGGAAAGGAAAGGAAAGGAGCTGGTTGACTAAAATCCCTTATTTTGGCTGCTGATCCCTTATTTTCGAGGCTGCTGGTCCCTTATTTTCAAATCTGTAAGTTGGCAGCTATGTGCAGCAGACCTACTTCCAAGTAGACACCTGACTTATTGCAGTAAAGAAAGTGATAGGAAAAGTCCCGGGCGAATTTGGATTGCAGTTGGCTTGATGCAATGTCATCCTATAGCCTCTCTGCAAATAAATCTGAATGAAGGCCTTACAACCTTCCCACGAGTTTTATGCAAACAAATCAGGATGAACGCTCAAGAAGCCGGTCATCCAGACTGACCTTGCACTCCTTCTGTTACCCTCTCTTACACCAATTTGCTTCCTCCTTTCTACGTTTTGATTAAGTCCAGCTATAACCATGGTCAACACAAACCAGAACTGAAGTGGGTTTGCAAACCCTGGTTAGGAGGCAAGCTTGTAACATTAGGCCCTGATTTTTAAGCAAATCCATGGACCAGAAGTGGAACTGAATGAAGTACGAATGAATGGGCATGGAGTACGTGAGCCCCACATCAAAACCTGTGCTTCTTTTCTTCAAAGCATGGTTAGCAATTTGGGAATGTTTTGTGTCTGTGTTCTGGCCAGTCAAAATGCAATTTGTACGCTAATGGATTGATCCTGATACAAGTTGCGCTTGTAACTTAACATGAAACCCTTGGTTTTTGCCCTTACAGAATCTAAGAAGCCAGCTTCAGGAGTCTGAAGAAGTGTGTCCGATGGGGTTTTCATTGTTGTTGCCGCCTTTTTCTTGCTTCAAACGAAAGGCTTGCAATGGGTTTCTCTGTTTGCAGATATTGCCGGCAGGTTCTGTGTGAGACGGTGAGGACATCAAAACTGACACCAATTGCGGCTCGGCTGCAAGAGCTAGAGGGCAGCGTTGACCAGCATATTATTCCCAAAGAGGTAGGACTGGAAGCTAGCGCTCATAGCCTCCCTTTCCTTTAATCAGAGAAAAGTAATGGTTAAGGTTTGTTAAAGGTTGGAAAAGTCTCAGAGACGTTTTGCATGAAAAAGAAATAACGATATTTAGATTTGAGGACTGAAAATAATGTTTGCTCATAGAAAGTGGATTTGTTGGGTATTATATTGGATTAGGGATGCGGGTGGCGCTGTGGGTTAAACCACAGAACCTAGGACTTGGCAATCAGAAGGTCGTGGTTCGAATCCCCGCGACGGGGTGAGCTCCTGTTGCTCGGTCCCTGCTCCTGCCAACCTAGCAGTTCGAAAGCACATTGAAGTGCAAGTAGATAAATAGGTACCACTCCAGCGGGAAGGTAAACAGCGTTTCCGTGCACAGCTCTGGTTTGCCAGAAGCGGCTTAGTCATGCTGGCCACATGACCCGGAAGCTGTATGCCGCAACCCCAGAGTCGGACACGACTGGACCTAATGGTCAGGGGTCCCTTTACCTTTACCTTTATATTTGATTGGATGAAGCGAATATTGTTTTTATACAGCAGACATAGGGAGAATCAGAAGTTCTTTACTTTCTGAATCTGAATCAGAAGTTCTTTACTTTCTGAACGCCAGCTCCCTTGGCCAATAAAGCGAGATGAGCACCGCAACCCCAGAGTCGGCCATGACTGGACCTAATGGTCAGGGGTCCCTTTACCTTTACCTTTATATTTGATTGGATGAAGCGAATATTGTTTTTATACAGCAGACATAAGGAGAATCAGAAGTTCTTTACTTTCTGAATCTTATTTTTCGCCTCTTTCTTTCTTTCTATCTTTCTTTCTTTCTTTCTCTCTTTCTCTATTTCTCTCCCCCCCTCCTTTTATGTTTTTATTGTATCTAGATCAAAGTCTTAGTTTGGTTCAAAAAAGGGGAAAGATACTAAGTTTTGTATTTTTCCTCTATAAGCCTTAATAAAATTTATTTTTTTATAAAAAGTATTTTTTTTAAAGTCTCCCTTTCCTATGGATGAAAGCTAATATTTTGTTTTTATTATAGGAATGCTTAGGTAGAGGTTTATGCATGAGGTTAAGAAACCAGGGTGTTCTTTTTCCTGTAAGCCAGGCTATCAGATCACCGCTATCAGACCCTTCGTGTAAACCACAATTTAAAAGGAAATTTCCTAAGTAAACTTGGTTTCCTGTATTACCCAAGCTATGGTTACTGGCTTCATTTAAATCAGGGGTAGGCAACCTAAGGCCCGGGGGCCGGATGCGGCCCAATCGCCTTCTCAATCCGGTCCACGCATGGCCCGGGAATCAGCTTGTTTTTACATGAGTAGAATGTGTCCTTTTATTTAAAATGCATCTCTGGGTTATTTGTGGGGCCTGCCTGTTGTTTTTGCATGAGTAGAATGTGTGCTTTTATTTAAAATGCATCTCTGGGTTATTTGTGGGGCATAGGAATTCGTTCATTATTTCCCCCCTCCCCCCCAAATATAGTCCGGCCCACCACATGGTCTGAGGGACGGTGGACCGGCCTACGGCTGAAAAAGGTTGCTGACCCCTGATTTAAATGGTACATTCACATCCTCCCTCATCCTGACCCCCTCCCCCAAGCTGTGTAAAGGTAAAGGGAACCCTGACCATTAGGTCCAGTCGTGACCGACTCGGGTTGCACGCTCATCTCACTCTATAGGCCGAGGGAGCCGGCGTTTGTCCGCAGACAGCTTCCGGGTCATGTGGCCAGCATGACTAAGCCGCTTCTGGCGAACCAGAGCAGCACACGGAAACGCTGTTTACCTTCCCGCTGGAGCGGTACCTATTTATCTACTTGCACATGATGTGCTTTTGAACTGCTAGGTTGGCAGGACCAAGCTGTGCTTGCTTGGAGCCAAACCCCACTTTTCTCTAGGCAAGCATGCTCAAGATTGCATCCTGATGTCCGCTTTAGCAGAGAGCTTCAAAGCATTCCTCGCATCCAAAGGGAAGGCTCAAATGAGCCAATCTGAAAGACAAACTAGAATAAGACGTCTTCCATAGGTCTTGTTTTAATCAGCTTGCCTAGAAGTTTCTATCTTATTTCCATTCATAAAACGAAGCCTGCAGGGCCTGGTTTTTTTTTTGGTTTTTTGCATTCCTTCATTGAAATACATTCCACCACCACCCAAATAACAGCAGTGTCTTATTGCTGGCTTTCGCTAGCAAAATACCCCCCCCCCAAAAAAAACCCCACTCCTTTCAAATTTAACAACTGGAAATTAGACTGGTTCACTTCAAATTCATTCTGCAAGGTGGCTGGATTTTGCATGAATAAAGCTTATTCAGCTGACATTCTGTACCAGTTTGCTTGGGAGAAAGGCCTGTTGAGAGGCACAGAATCCCACTGCAAAGCCCGCAAATGCAGCAAATGTGTCCAGCAAATGTGGTGTGTCATCTGACCTGGCTAAAGTGATGCATTTTTCATTTCGTTTCAGACTCTCGTGCTGTATGCGCTCGGTGTGGTGTTACATGACAGCTCGACTTGGCCGTTGCCCTATAAGTATGGAAACACAAGTAACTTTATCTGTTTCTGTCTTTCCCCTTCCCTTCCGGCTAATTTTGCCATGTGTTTCTAAATGGATGGTTGGGTTGTAATAATAATAATAATAATTTATTTATACATACATACATACATACATACCCCGCCCATCTGGCTGGGTTTCCCCAGCCACTCTGGGTGGCCTATAGCAAAATATTAAAATACAGTAATTCATCAAATATTAAAAGCTTCCCTAAACAGGGCTGCCTTCAGATGTCTTCTAAAAGTCAGATACAGTGGTACCTCGGGTTACATACGCTTCAGGTTACAGGCTCCGCTAACCCAAAAATAGTGCTTCAGGTTAAGAACTGACACCAATTGCGGCTTGGCTGCAAGAGCTGGAGGATAAGAACAGAAATCGTGCTCCGGTGGCGCGGCGGCAGCAGGAGGCCCCATTAGCTAAAGTGGTGCTTCAGGTTAAGAACAGTTTGAGGTTAAGTACGGACCTCCGGAACGAATTAAGTACTTAACCCGAGGTACCACTGTAGTTGTTTATTTCCTTGACATCTGATGGGAGGGCATTCCACAGGGCGGGTGCCACTACCAAGAAGGCCCTCTGCCTGGTTCCCTGTAACTTCACTTCTCACAGTTAGAGAACCGCCAGAAGGCCATTGGAGCTGGACCTCAGTGTCTGGGCTGAATGGTGGGGGTGGAGACGCTCCTTCAGGTATGTTTTTGTTTAGTCGTGTCCGACTCTTCATGACCCCATGGACCAGAGCACGCCAGGCACTCCTGTCTTCCCTTCAGGTATATTGTATAATCATACCTCGGCTTGAAGTAGCTTCGGGATAAGTATTTTCGGATTGCACGCTGCGGCGACCCGGAAGTAACGGAGCGTGTTACTTTCGGGTTTCGCTTCTCGCACATGTGCAGATGGTCAAAATGATGTCACACGCCTGCGCGGAAGCGGCGAATCGCAACCTGCCCAGACGCGAGTTGCGTTTGCTTCTGGATGTGAACAGGGCTGCAGAACGGATCCCGTTCGCATCCAGAGGTACCAATGTACTATTTTAGAGGCAAGGGGGAGGACTGCATGTTGGAATTCTCCCCAGTGTTGTTGTTGTTGTTTTAAAAAAGCCCTGCGCATGGAAAAATAGCATGTGGAAAAAGAAGTCTTCTCTTGACCTGGCTTCCCAGGATAGCTCAGTTGGTAGAGAACGAGACTCTTAATCTCAGGGTTGTAGGTTTGAGACCCATACTGGGCAAATGTTTCCTGCATTGCAGGGGGTTGTACTAGATGACCCACAAGGTCCCTTCCAACTAAGGGACCCTGTGGGTCATCTAGTCCAACCCCCTGCAATGTAGGAATATGCAGTTGTCCCATACGGGGATTGAACCTGCAACCTTGGCGTTATCGGCACCACACTCTAACCAACTGAGCCATAGCAGCCAAGGGAATATGTGATAACAACAACAACAACAACAACAACAACAATAAATAAATAAAAATAATTTTATTATTTATACCCTGCCCATCTGGCTGGGTTTCCCCAGCTACTCTGGGCGGCTCCCAACAGAATATTAAAAATACATTAAGACATCAGTCATTAAAAGTTTCCCTAAACAGGGCTGCCTTCAGATGTCTTCTAAAAGTCAGATCCAGTGGTGCCCCGCAAGACGAATGCCTCGCAAGACGAAAAACTCGCTAGACGAAAGGGTTTTTCGTTTTTTGAGCTGCTTCGCAAGACGATTTCCCCTATGGGCTTGCTTCGCAAGACGGAAACGTCTTGCAAGTTTGTTTCCTTTTTCTTAACACCGTTAATACAGTTGCGACTTGACTTCGAGGAGCAACTCATAGAACGCGGTGTGGTAGCCTTTTTGAGGTTTTTAAAGACTTTGGTGATTTTTGAAGCTTTTCCAAAACTTTCCCGACACCGTGCTTCGCAAGACGAAAAAAATCGCAAGACGACAAAACTCGCGGAACGAATTAATTTCGTCTTGCGAGGCACCACTGTAGTTGTTTATTTCCTTGACATCTGATGGGAGGGCATTCCACAGGGCAGCTTACATAAAAAAGTGGTAAAACATTAAGACATTAAAAAATTCCTGATACAGGTTTGCCTGTCGTCTGTAGGGAATGAGGCAGTCTTTCAGGTATTCGGAGCCTAAGTCATTTAGGACTTTAAACAGTAACGTGAACACCTTGAACTGGGCCCGGATATGAACTAACAACTGGTCTGTTGTGCTGCTTGTATGGGATGGCGAGAGGTGAAATAGCCTATCGCCATATGCTTGATGCTCTGGAAATACCGTATTTTTTGCTCTATAAGACTCACTTTTCCCTCCTTAAAAGTAAGGGGAAATGTGTGTGCGTCTTATGGAGCGAATGCAGGCTGCGCAGCTATCCCAGAAGCCAGAACAGCAAGAGGTATTGCTGCTTTCCCTGCACAGCGATCCCTCTTGCTGTTCTGGCTTCTGGGATTCAGAATATTTTTTTTCTTGTTTTCCTCCTCCAAAAACTAGGTGCGTCTTGTGTTCTGGTGCCTCTTGTAGAGCGAAAAATATGGTAGCTTACAGCTGTATTGCGTTAGACCTCTCCTCGATGCCTTCCTTTTTAACAGACGGGAGGTTTTAGAAGTGCGGGAGAATCAAACTCCCCACCCCACCAGTCCCAGGAAATGGTTCTGAACGTGCAGTTCAGTTCTGTATTTTTTTGAACCTAATTAAACATCATGGGTGAGGCGAAAAGCCCCTTTTGTTAAGACAGATTTGCTTTCAAACGCAGGGCTTTGCAAATGTGTTCTTGCAAAATGCTTTTGGTGGCATTTTTTTTAAAAAAAAAATCAATAACTTCCTTTTCTGAACGTTCATGACCTTCTGTGGCAAATGCTGTGTGCAGGATTTTCTTTTTAAAAACAGGTCGCTGTGAGAAGGAGATGTCGCAATCGCAATTCATAATGAAATCTGTGGTTCAGAGGAGGAAACATCAATCATGGGTTTTTGTTTTTAAGGAAATAGAGGTTCTACCTCATTATTTCCAGACTCATTTTTATGGATTCTTGGCTTGAGATCTTGACTTCTGCATCATAACAGGAACTGCTCTAGCGCTCTTTGGCCTCCAGATGGCAACTTTTTTAATAGTTTGGGCACCGTGGCTCTGGGGTTGCTTACCGATTTCAGTTCAGGGCGGAAACACAGTAGGGCTTAATCTAAAGAAATAAATTCAGTCCAAGGGCCCCTGCTCTCTCTCCGGCAGCCATAGCTTTCCTCTTGGAAAAAGGAAGCAGATGAGCAACACAGCCAATAAGAATCGTAGGTGCTGATATAGTCTCCAGGAGTTCCACAGGAAGAACTGGAAGTGCAAGTGCTGTTGTCCCTTTTAAAAAATGAGGGCACTGGCTGAGAGCTATATGGCAAGGATGTGGTGATGATGTCAGTGTGATGAAAGAAATTATGGGTGGGGGGCAGGAGTATGGGAAGTGGAAGCAACTCTTGACAGGGAGACTCTGTCATCTCCTGCAAATCCTGCTGCATAGGCCTGGTCCTGAAAGCAGCCTATGCCAGACCCAAAAAGCAAAAAAAATGAACTTTCTTCCCTATACGGCAGCTACTAATAGCTGCCTGTTCTGATTGTCTCTAGGTTGGCTTTTAAAAAGTTGGCAGTAGGGAATTCAGCAAATATGAGCTGAATTTGCTGTTTCACTGCAAATCCCAGCTGGCTTTTAAGAAAAGGGTGCAACACTCAAACATCTGAAGGTTTGAAGAATAAAAAATAAATAATTATTTTCACGCCCAGAGAAATACCATGCATGCACATATAGCACATGTGCTGCAACACAGCCTCTACTCAATATTATTTTCTGCCGTGAATGCTCTTTCCCCTTTTTGCTTTGGAAATAAACAGCCTGGCATCATCTTAATTTTCAATTACCATCCAGTAACAGCCTCACTATAACAATAAAAAAAGGTAAAGGTACCCCTGCCCATACGGGCCAGTCTTGACAGACTCTAGGGTTGCGCGCCCATCTCACTCTAGAGGCCGGGGGCCAGCGCTGTCTGGAGACACTTCCGGGTCACGTGGCCAGCGTGACAAGATGTATCTGGCGAGCCAGCGCAGCACACGGAAACGCCATTTACCTTCCCGCTAGTAGCGGTCCCTATTTATCTACTTGCACCCGGGGGTGCTTTCGAACTGCTAGGTTGGCAGGCGCTGGGACCGAGCAACGGGAGCGCACCCCGCCGCGGGGATTCGAACTGCCGACCTTTCGATCGGCAAGCCCTAGGCGCTGAGGCTTTTACCCACAGCGCCACCCGCGTCCCAACACTATAACAATACCAAATTATAATACAATTACTAATACCAGTCATTCAAATACCGAATTATTTAACGCCTGGCATCATCTTACGCCTTGTCAGTTCCTCGATGATGGCAAGCTTAACGTTAATTTAGACTAGGCTGTATAATTGCTTTTAAAAACCCACTGACCTGATGGTGAAACAAGCTTTTCATTCTAATGAATCATCAGCTTCTGCCCAGGTACTTGTTCGCAGCCTGGCTGGGTTGAGAAAAATTGGGAGGAAGCATTGTGCAGGCTGGCTGGCAGGCCGCAAGGAAAGAAGAAAAGAGAGCAGAGAAATTAGATTGCAGGGCTTTAGAGCAAGCAGTACAGAAATCGAGGGAGAAAAGGGTTCAGGCACACAGACACTGGGGCCCTGTATATTTTGTACTGATGTACTTTCTGGCTGTCTTACAATGGCATTCTTGCAGACCTAGTTTTTGGGGTCAGAGAAGTTTCTGATCCTTATTTTTGTTCCTTCTTTCTCTTGTAGATTTGATCCAGATAGATTCAGTGACGACTCTGCCATGAAAAACTTCTCCCTTCTGGGTTTCTCAGGGAGCCAGGAATGCCCTGAACTGAGGTGAGCATATTTTTTTATTTGGGGGGGAGCAAGAACAGAGCATCTCTGTTTCTGTGAGGAGTGAGGCAGTGAGAGAGAGAGAGAGAGAGAGAGAGAGAGAGAGAGAGAGCGCCTTTTGGGTAGCATTTTCTCCAGGTCATTTTGCCTAATGGATTGTGTGATCTCCTCCGTTGCCTGTTCTTGCTTTGATCCTAGAGATAAGATGGAAGGGAATTTTTCTGTCCACTCCTCTTTCTTACTCTCCACCTTGCCTCCCGAGTGACTGGGCCCTCCCTACAAAAAAAGGCTCTCTCCGGAGGGTTTGGGGTGGGGTATAAAGGTGAAAGGACCCCTGACCATTAGTCCAGTCGTGACCGACTCTGGGGTTGCGGCGCTCATCTCGCTTTATTGGCCGAGGGAGCCGGCGTGCAGCTTCCGGGTCATGTGGCCAGCATGACTAAGCCGCTTCCGGCGAACCAGAGCAGTGCATGGGAACGCCGTTTACCTTCCCGCTGGAGTGGTACCTATTTATCTACTTGCACGTTGATGTGCTTTCGAACTGCTAGGCTGGCATGAGCAGGGACCGAGCAACGGGAGCTCACCCCGTTGCGGGGATTCGAACCGCTGACCTTCTGATCGGCAAGTTCTAGGCTCTGTAGTTTAACCCACAGCGCCACCTGCATCCCATGTTTGGGGTGGGGTACTGTCATGAAATCCTACTCGTTATTGATCCAGAGCAGATTCCAGCGTATGCCTAGCAGAGTAAAATCTTAAAACACGTTGCGGGATTCTAAAAAAAATAGAGGCAATTAATATTTCATCCAGCAGAGCTTTACTGCTACTGAAGGCAAATGAGCATAATGGTCACAAATACAATACATTCAGGATTGGCACTGTCCATAAGAAATCCAGTTGCTGCAGACTTAACTTAAACTTACAATAACTTATAATAAGTCTAAAACTCAATGCTAAGCATACTGTGTACAGAACACAACACCAGAAGGAAGTGAGATAGAAAGAGAAAGTAAAACGCAGGCTCCTTCTGGCCTATTTTTATCGCCAGCATGACCTTGACAGAAGAGATAACAGAACCAGTTTAAGCCAGCTGTACAGTCGTACCTCTGGATGCAAACGGGATCCGTTCCGGAGCCCCGTTCGCATCCAGAAGCGAACGCAACCCGCGTCTGCGCGTGTTGCTGCTTCCGCGCATGCGTGTGACGTCATTTTGACCATCTGCACATGCGCGAGCGGTAAAACCCGGAAGCAACGCCCTCCATTACTTCTGGGTCGCCGCAGCACACAACCCGAAAATACTTATCCCCAAGCTACTTCAACCCGCGGTATGACTGTACTCAGCTTCTCTGAAGGAATAACCCAAACATCAGGAACCTTCTGCTTGCTTCTTTCACACAGAGAAGCTTCCAGAACCCTCTGGAATTAATTAGAATAGGAAAGATCTCTACACATCAGATCAATACTATCTGTTCTAAGAAATGCAAACTGACAGGTACCTCCTGAACATTGCGGGATGGGACACAGGGAGAGGAGGGGAATTGCCCCAAATCCATTTGGGGGCATTCCCTGCTCTCCCTTAGGGTCCCACACTCCAGAGACGCGTTTTGGAGGATCCAAAGCTCTGACTTTTTCTTCACTGAGGTCCAGCACCGTGGGCCTTCTGGCGGTTCCCTCACTGCGAGAAGCCAAGTTACAGGGAACCAGGCAGAGGGCCTTCTCGGTAGTGGCACCTGCCCTGTGGAACACCCTCCCACCAGATGTCAAAGAGAACAACAACTGCCAGACTTTTAGAAGACATCTGAAGGCAGCCCTGTTTAGGGAAGCTTTTAATGTTTGATGTATCACAGTATTTTAATACAGTGGTGCCCCGCAAGACGAATGCCTCGCAAGACGGAAAACTCGCTAGACGAAAGAGTTTTCCGTTTTGGAGGTGCCTCGCAAAACGAATCTGCTATGGGCTTGCTTCGCAAGACGAAAATGTCTTGCGAGTTCCTGGGTTTTTTTTCCCTTTTCCCCCTCTTTTCTAAGTTGCTAAGCCGCTTATCTGCTTATCCGATAAGCTGATAAGCTGCTAAAAGCCGCTAAAAGCCGCTAAAAGCCGCTAAAAGCCGCTAATAGCGCTAATCCGCTAATCCCGTCAATGGGCTTGCTTCGCAAGACGAAAAAACCGCTAGACGAAGAGACTCCCAGAACAGATTCTTTTCGTCTTGCGAGGCACCACTGTATTTCCTGGAAGCCGCCCAGAGTGGCTGGGGTATAAGTAATAAATTATTATTATTATTATTATTATTATTATTTGCCTTCTCCTCCCCTCTGGTTACACAGGTTTGCCTACACGGTAGCTACAATCCTGCTGACTGTGATCGTGAGGAAACTCCACTTGCGTTCTGTAGAAGGTCAAGTCGTGGATACCAGATATGAGCTGGTCACCTCGCCGAAGGAGGAAGCCTGGATAACCATATCCAAGAGAAACTGAGGCGAGCCATGGAGTTTTATTTCATGAGTCCTATTAGTGCCATCCGCCGTCTTCCGTTATCTCACTGTAATAATTTTTCGGCATTCTTGGCCTAAAATACTTCCCCTCTTCTTTAATGAAAATGGCCTAAGCTAGGGCTGCTGTATGTCCAGACTTAACCAGAATATGGCAGTCAGAAACGGCATCTGGGTAAAAATCGCTGACATGTCCGGGAAAATCCGGGCGTATGGCAATCCATGTCGGAAGTCTAGATTTTGGCGAATTTCCTTAAAAACAGTTCAAAAACTTCTTTTCATTTCGCAATAAAAGCTCAACAACTGTTGGCAAAACTAAAAAAACAGCTCAAGAACTTTGCCCATCAACCACTTTTGTGTCCGGATTTTCACTTTTTGAAACATGGCAACCGAAACACTGAAGATAATCAGGTTGCCTCTAACGAAACTGTAATATAATCTGAAGGATTGACAGAAGAGGATAATTTTGTAGAATAGATGTATTGCAGACTAAGCTCCCACCACCGAAAGCTGGAAATAATTAGAGTTGCAAAATAGCCGCACATTCTGTTTTAGATGCTCTTATGCTGTACACACCCAATGTGTCTATAGGTAGGTTGAGGTAAGGCATTTTGTATATGCACCATTAAGTTCTGGCAAACTTGTTTTTATATATGAAGGAACACTTTTTATTCTTACAGGGGCGGGAATCACTTTTTCAGGACTGTGTCGTTGCATGGGAAAACACAATTTTTGGTGTAACGTTTGATGAGTTCTAGCCTTAAATTAAGCCTTGACTTAGCTACAAAAGACTGGCTGCTAAGAAGGTCAGATTAGAGGCCAGAAGCCCGTTTTCAATAAGTATAATATCATAAAACCCTACCATTGTCCTTACTTCTCCATGAGCTGTATTAGAGAAACAAGTTTCGAAACAGAATTGAAAAAATCCGTGGGTGAATATTCAAGATGACATGCAGAAGCAGATTAGTTAGTTACAGCTTCTCATTTGTATGCCTAGTCCAGGCTCCAATCCAGTTTTAAGTCAGTTGCGACTAATCCCCATTGAAAGCAATGGAACACATTCATTGTAAGTTGGAGACACCCCATTGCATTCAATGGGACTTGGACGCAACTGACTTAAACTGGATTGGGACTGATCAGGTTCAGGAGTGATGCACAGCGATTGTATTGATCAATTGTCTCTGTGTTCAGGAATAGTTCTGAACTGAATTAATCCAGAAGAACACACCTAAGGATATTGCATTTTTATTTTTTCAATGGAGACCTCTGGGAAGAGCTGCTTTTCTGCCATACAGGTTTGAGGGGCCAAACCAGCTGCACTACCAATGCAGTGTTTTGTTTTCAAAAGTAGCTCCGATCAAAATGAATCTCCGTTATGCATTATCATCAACCCGTTTTATATTGTTGTTGTTGTTGTTGTTTAGTCGTTTAGCCGTGTCCGACTCTTCGTGACCCCATGGACCAGAGCATGCCAGGCACTCCTGTCTTCCACTGCCTCCCGCAGTTTGGTCAAACTCATGCTGGTAGCTTCGAGAACACTGTCCAACCATCTCGTCCTCTCTCGTCCCCTTCTCCTTGTGCCCTCCATCTTTCCCACCATCAGGGTCTTTTCCAGGCAGTCTTCTCTTCTCATGAGGTGGCCAAAGTATTGGAGCCTCAGCTTCACGATCTGTCCTTCCAGTGAGCACTCAGGGCTGATTTCCTTAAGAATGGATCAGTTTGATCTTCTTGCAGTGCATGGGACTCTCAAGAGTCTCCTCCAGCACCATAATTCAAAAGCATCAATTCTTCGGCGATCAGCCATCTTTATGGTCCAGCTCTCACTTCCATACATCACTACTGGGAAAACCATAGTTTTTACTATACAGACCTTTGTTGGCAAGGTGATGTCTCTGTTTTTTAAGATGCTGTCTAGGTTTGTCATTGCTTTTCTCCCAAGAAACAGGCGTCTTTTAATTACGTGGCTGCTGTCACCATCTGCAGTGATCATGGAGCCCAAGAAAGTAAAATCTCTCACTGCCTCCATTTCTTCCCCTTCTATTTGCCAGGAGGTGATGGGACCAGTGGCCATGATCTTCCTTTTTTTGATGTTGAGCTTCAGACCATATTTTGCACTCTCCTCTTTCACCCTCATTAAAAGGTTTTTTAATTCCTCCTCACTTTCTGCCATTAAGGTTGTGTCATCTGCATATCTGAGGTTGTTGATATTTCTTCTGGAAATCTTAATTCCGGCTTGGGATTCATCCAGCCCAGCCTTTCGCATGATGAATTCTGCATATAAGTTAAATAAGCAGGGAGACAATATACAGCCTTGCCGTACTCCTTTCCAAATTTTGAACCAATTAGTTGCTCCATATCCAGTTCTAACGTTCCAAATTGTTTTTAGGCCCAAGTGCCTTTTTTTTTAATCAGAGTTCCTCTTCCTGCTAACTTTTTAAACTGCAATTCTTCTACCCATGCAATTAGCTTCAATGAAAAATAGGCAACTAAAAATAGTCAGCAAAATTAGTACACTAAGTTTAAAGGCTTGTGACCAGTTAGCAGCCTCGGATTTTTATTTTTATTCTTTCTTTCCCTTGCTGAGCTTTCTACTTAATGCTTGAAAGAGTCCTCTGAATTGTGCTACAAACCCTTGCTTAGACTTACCTGGCGAGGAGGCACCTTATTCGAATTCCCCACCTCCCTGTGCTCCGCCTAGGGGTACCCTATGCTTTTGTATGACAACTACAGGCAACAACCATTTTAGGCATGTCCCCAATTGATGCACGATTCCCAGAGCGTGGGTCCTTTTGCCCTTGGAACAGGGTTGGGAATGGATCTCCCATGCAAAATTGTTGCCATCTGTACTGGGGTGAATCAAGCCCTTTCCAGAAGCCGGAATCTCTAAGATTTTGAGGTGAGCGTTTGACTTGATCACTGACCAGCACGATACACTTGTTTCTCGACATCAACACTGTTCAACTTTGGAAGAACCAAGCGATGGGCGATGGAAATGCCTTAATGCCACTTGCCGCAACTTCGTGGCCAGGTACTTTAAACCTTTTGAATGCCACAAGATGCCTGCTTATCCTCCGAAAAGCAGGAAGCAGATGACCTACTTATACAAAACGGCCGAAACACAGCCGCCAAGGGTGCAAAAGACTTTCCAGGGCTTGTAAGAGGATGACGGAATCTTGAGCACCAGTAAGCATGTTCTCAGCTTCCTATCTGCATTTGCAACACCTGAAGTAGGGTATGGCCTGCTGTCTCCCATGCATGCGGCAGAAAGTGCGAAAACGTCTTGCAGACATGGAGGCTCTGCATCCGTGATTGGATTATGCAGGGAGCACATGCGGAAGAGTTTAGATGTCTTCAATTTTAGGCATGCAGAGCTCTGTGTGTCTCCCGCTTTTTGCACGCAAGTTGCAGAATGGGTTGTGCTTAGCCCAACATTTCAGTGAGCGTGGTTTATAAGGTGAGACTAGAGTGTGCATTCTTTGACTTCCACTGCAGATAGGAATTAAGAACTTATTTTCTCATTACTTGATCCCGGACTTGTTTGGGTGTTCTGTTCTCTAGCTTCCTTTCTGACTTCATTCTTTCCTTAAATAAAGTATGCTTTGACATAGTTTGATTGCTGGGGAAGCCTGTGGTTGTTTTTAACATGGCTTTCTTTACAGGTTGAGCATAGGGTGGAGAATCGCAGGATTAACTGGAACCGCTCCTTCATCAGGTTCGAAACTCACATTGCTCTAGTCGCATTTTGCGACAGGGAATTTCATGAGCGCGAGCAGTTCCTGAGCTCTGGGCGCAGTACTGCACCTAAGATTTCAGATTAAACTGCTGAGTGGAAGGAAAGGAGGACTACCGTATTTTTTGCACCATAACACTCACTTTTTTCCTCCTAGAAAGCAAGGGGAAATGTCTGTGCGTGTTATGGAGGGAATGCCTATGGGTGGCGGGGGGGATCTGCTGCAGTCGTGAGCAGAGGATCCATGGTTCCCCTTCCTTCCCTCCTCCATGGCTCGCTTTGAAACAGCAAAGTGGGAGAAGAGCCACTGAGTGGGGAGAAGAGAGGGACAGAGAGCCTGCTTCTTTAAAGGAGCAAAGTGGGAGAGGAGAGGAGCCTTCTCCCCTTAAACCCCTCTTCTGCATTATTAGCAGCATCCTTCTCCACCCACCCCACGCGTGCTCCTTGTCCCTTGAGTGCTTTTCCTTCCCTCCCCACTTAAAACGTGGTTACAAAGCACGGATCCACATGGATCCTCAGGATTTTTGCACTGGGTCACCCCAAATTCACCATCAGATCACATAGCATGTCCATGGCTACATCTTGCACCAAAAAAATCACGCACCCACTGTTGCCTGGGGCTGCAGTGGTGCAAAAACGTGGTTACAAAGCATGGATCCACATGGATCCTCAGGATTTTGCATTGGGCTACTCCAAACTCACTGTCAGATCACATGTCTGTGGCCACAGCATGAACCACAAAAATCATACATCCACTGTTTCGTTTAGAATATTTTTTTCTTGTTTTCCTCCTCTAAAAACTATGTGCGTGTTATGGTCGGGTGCGTGTTATAGAGCGAAAAATACGGTATTTTCTGCCTCCCCTCTTCCAGCTACTCTCTGAAGACGGGAGAAGAGACCTTCTTAAGAACATTAGGGGGGTGGGCAGGGGAAGGACTAGACCAGGCATAGGCAAACTCGGCCCTCCAGATGTTTTGGGACTACAGCTCCCATCATCCCTGACCACCGGTCCTGTTAGCTAGGGATAATGGGAGTTGTAGTCCCAAAACATCTGGAGGGCCGAGTTTGCCTATGCCTGGACTAGACCATGTGAAAAATGAACATAACATTTTAGCTGCAGTTCATTCATTTTCAGCTTTGTATTGTTGCTATTAAAAAAGCACGCCTAGACATTCCATTGTTGCGCCCATAACCTAGGCTTAATAATAATAATAATAATTTTTTAAAAAATTATTTATATCCCGCCCTCCCAAGCCGAAACCAGGCTCAGAGCGGCTAACAACAATAAAAGTAACACAGCATTCTAAAATCAATTCAAAATCAAATTAATGGCAACCATTGGGCTAGAGTTCTATGAGGATTACCAAAGGAGGGGGTCAGACTGTGCCTTGGCCTAAGGCCTGGTGGAACAGCTCCGTCTTGCAGGCCCTACGGAAAGATGTCAAGTCCCGCAGGGCCCTAGTCTCTTGTGACAGAGCGTTCCACCAGATCGGGGCCACAGCCGAAAAAGCCCTGGCTCTGGTTGAGGCCAGCCTAACCTCCCTGTGGCCTGGGACCTCCAAGATGTTTTTGTTTGAAGACCGTAAGTTCCTCTGTGGGACATACCAGGAGAGGCGGTCCCGTAGGTACGAGGGTCCTAGGCCGTATAGGGCTTTAAAGGTTAAAACCAGCACCTTAAACCTGATCCTGTACTCCACTGGGAGCCAGTGCTGCTGGTATAGCAGCGGGTGAAGGTGCCGTTTAGCTCCTAGCTTTCCTATCTCAGTTTCTAACACTGGTTGTGGCAGGGGTGGAGGGGCAGAAGAGGGGACACACCATTGGCATTGGATTCTTGCAGAAAGCAACTGAGCTCTCAGTATGACGCTTCCAGGTTCAGTCTCTATAGCCTGCACATTTTGTCCATGCTAAGGCAATTGCTCTGTCAGCACACACTTCTCCCTTCTCCTCCCACCCTATGCCATTCTGGAGGTTCACACAACCCCCCTGAGCATATTGGGGGAGCAGTCCCATTATGTTAGTGCAATTCATTGGACTGGCTTCTGCTGGTGCCACAACTTACTGTATTTTTCGCTCTATAAGACACACTTTTTCCCTCCTAAAAAGTAAGGGGAAATGTGTGTGTGTCTTATGGAGCGAATGCAGGCTGCGCAGCTATCCCAGAAGCCAGAACAGCAAGAGGGATCAATGCTTTCACTGCGCAGCGATTCCTCTTGCTGTTCTGGTTTCTGGGATAGCTGCGCAAAACCTCTTCAGGGCAGGGGGATTGCGAACGACCCAGTTCATAATTTCCTTTTATTTGGCTTCTGAGCAGTCTCCAAGTTACCCCATCCACTTCACACAAAAAGAAGACCATGAGTTGCATCAAAGTTGTATAAGCTATTTCTTATGTATAGTTGAAATTTAAATAAAAAGACATACAAATCCCACCATAGTGAGGGAGACACTGGCCAAGCATACATGATCCATCTGATGAGGGCTACCAAAGTGCCAGTTTTCAAATGGACCAAGTAAAAAGGACCAGACCCAGCAAGTTAAAAAGGGCTGACAAAGACACTTTGATCCCTTTCCTCCCGGTTTTCTTTCAGCAAAGCACAATGTGATGAAAACCACTGGTGTGTTTTTTTCTGGGCATGCTTTAATTGGCTTTAATGAAGTCGTGATCCGGCAGTTCAAAAGTTATTAAGGTTTTCCTGCCCTATAAAAAATCTGCGGGAAAAAGTTCTGTACTGGCAAAATTGTGCCCTGCGTGACTGAAAACAAAGCTTAAAACGTTGACAGGTTCTTTTATCCTTAAACTTTTATCGAAATACAACTTTTATCCAAATCTTTTATCCAAATAAAAATTTATTATTATTTCAATTTGATTTGAAGTAATTTTTTAATGAAATGATTTTAAAATGTTGTCTTATTTATTGTTGTTAGCCGCCCTGAGCCCGGCTTCGGCTGGGGAGGGCGGGATACAAATAAAATTTTATTATTATTATTTATTATTATTATTAAACCAGATGTGGACCAGACAGCTCTTCAGAGAGATGTCGCCTTCAAATAGAGGACTGCCCTCTCTAATGTTGGGCACACGGCCATTCTGCCACCTGCCAGTCTCTTTAGCTGAGCGGAAGACATAGGAGTGGAGACCTGCAAAACACTGGCAACCTATAGTTTAGTCATACTTTAAAAGGAAATTAGTATTGCAGGTGCACAGGTAAAACATACATGTTCAGCATTCTTGCAGGTGTTTAAGACACCATTGCAGAACAACCAACCAACTCTGCAAGCCGCTGGCAATATGCCAGGTTTTCTGATAGAAATTGAAGGTGTAAATCCAAAGTGTCTCTCCAGAGCTGCAGCATTTAATTTATGATGGCACCGTGTGGAGTGTTTCTCAAATTTATGACTAATAGTTTGCTTAGCAAGGTAAGCATCCATTTTCTCCGCCGGCTGAACACCAACAACAATTGCAGCATGCTCATTATTTAAAAAATTGATCTGGCTGTACGGGCAAGCCTAACAGTCAATAACACTAGGAATTTCTGTCCAAAGAAACTATAGCTCCTGCAGTCAATTGGAAGCCGCGTCGGATGTTCAGGTTCCAAAGAATGTTTGCAAACCGGAACACGCACTTTGCGGCGTTCAGGAGCCAAAATGTTTTGAGTCGCAAGGCGTTTGTCAACCAAGGAACGACTGTACTTTGCATATATTATTCTTTAGCTATGTGTTCTGCAAGTCAAAGCTTCTTGAATATTTTAACAACGAATAATAATAATAATGGGACGTGGGTGGCGCTGCGGGTTAAATCACAGAGCTTGGGACTTGCCGATCAGAAGGTCAGCGGTTCGAATCCCGGCGATGGGGTGAGCTCCCGTTGCTCGGTCCCTGCTCCTGCCCACCTAGCAGTTCGAAAGCACGTCAAAGTGCAAAAACATAAATAGGTACCACTCTGGCGGGAAGGTAAACAGCATTTCTGTGCGCTGCTCTGGTTTGCCAGAAGCGGCTTCGTCATGCTGGCCACATGACCCGGAAGCTGTACACCGGCTCCCTCGGCCAATAAAACGAGATGAGCACTGCAACCCCAGAGTCGGCCATGACTGGACCTAATGGTCAGGGGTCCCTATATCTTTAATAATAATAATAATAATAATGCTATTATTTATACCCTGCCCATCTAGCTTCAATATCAAGGAAAGAGTCAGCATTGCACATGATGTCGACTTCCTAGCTGCAATTTAGCTACTCTTACACAGCAGACACTTCCAGCACACAACTTGCTTGCTTCAGATCGCACCCTCCTAACACCAGTTTGCAACAACGAAAAATGTGTGGGCTAAGACTGATGATGAGCCTGATTATATAGTGTTCTATTCTATGTAAATTCCTTTTTTAAAAAGGATAAATCTCTCTTTTTTTTGAGGGGAAGAGGCACTGGCCTACAAATGCGCTGAACTATAAATAATTAGGCAATCCATTCCTACTCAAAATCTGTACGTTCACCTCCTCCGCGCTGCCAAAACGCACCGTTTCTTGTTGCCTTTTTTTAAATCGGCAAGGCAGGAGGGTTCTTTGCAAAACTCACTTGGGGATTTTTAATTGCTGGCACCATCGCGGACTGTAATGGTGCTAGGAAATAGAGCCACACATGAACTACGGTGGCTTTCCCACACCACCTGCTTCCTAAATCCAGAGGTTTCCTATGCTTGGAAAATCTAGGGGAGCTGCATGGATTGCATAGGGCAGGGATGTCAAACCGGTCGACCGCGATCGACAGGTCGATCCCTGGGGGATAGCGGTCGATCACCCCGTGCATGATTGCAAAAATGGAAGATGGAATTATCACTGGCGGGGTTACCGTATTTTTCACTCTATAGGACGCACTTTTTCCCCTC